AATAAATAAATCTTCAAAAAAAAAGAAAAGAAAAGAAATAGTAAAGTGAGGGAAAGAAGGGTTTCCTGGACACCTGTGTCCTGCAGAGACACTCTTCATGGTAAATAAGCTTGTAACAAAAGCTCAGGACTCTTATTTCTCCCCCCCAGCTGGTCACACCAATGCCAGGTGATACATGAGCCCTTCTGAAGACAGGAAGGATGGACTGAATCAGAAAGAGCTCACAATAACCTCAGCTACTACAGGGCCTACACTGGCTTTAATTTTGCCAGACCTACCAAGTGTCAAATTTAAAAAAGTCAATTCTAAGAGAATTAGAAAATTAAAAAAATTGGGCCCCCCTGGTGGCGCCAGGGGTTAAGCACAGCACTATGAAGCAATCCGCAGCCTCTGCAGCATGGTTCAATCCCTGGCCGGCCAGGGAGCAACCCACATGGCGCAGCAGACTTCTCCTGTCTTTCCCAATGCTCCCCTCAGCAGCGTATTTCAGTTAGTCTGCATGTTCTGTTCCCCACTCTGTCTCTGGTGAATCCTCTCACTCCCTATACCTTTGGCCTGTACCCCAGCTCTTGTATGCATAAATAAATAAATCTTAAAAAAAGAAAATTAAAAAAATTAAGAACTATTTCACAAGGAGGCAGTTCCTATCTACATTCAGTACAAGCCGATTTAAAATTTATATTGGTCTTCCATCCATTCCTGAGTGCTTTCACAAAGCGGCCTGCCAGAGGCTATTAGCGCACAGGCCTCACAAATGGGGATGCAGCAGCATTCTGATTCACTGGAGCCAGAGTGGCTTTTGCACTCACTCAAATCACTTGGTGATTGACAAGCTTGCCTGCACTGTGAATTGTGGTTACTTCCCCTCAGAATAGAAACTAGAGAACAATCTGAAGGGATCATGATAAAAGAAAGAGCAAGCTTTGATGTTGGGTGGGACATACAAATAAGATTGAGAATACGTTGCTTTAGTGTTGTCAGAGTATGCTGCATTTTATTTAGGAAAGGAGACAAAATCTTCCTATGATCAGCCACTCCATGTGACATCCCAGCCCACACTCTGCTACTGACATTTATCTCCCACTGAACAGCCTGGCTGTTGTAACATTTTCAGGATTCTTAATTTATGTCTTGCTGGATTTAAAATCAGATGGCAGGAACTTTAAGGAAATAACCAGTGTTGACAGGAAACTTTGTACTTCCCGTAGCTGGCACACCTTAGTGTTACTAAAAGTTGGTGAATGCACTCTACCTTCTTCTTCCAAAATATGTCTAAGGTGTCAGTAGGATGGAGACAGGGAACTGTCCTAAATCATTTAATTTCTCTGTTCAATCTAGATTCTGTGAAAGCTCTTTCCTTTCACCCAATATTTGCTAACAAATTTGTTTTCTCCTTTTGGTATGAGTGGTTCCATCATTAGGTAAATTAAAATTCAATTTTAGGGCCTCTCCAGTGGCGCAGCGGGTTGAGTACAGCTCTGTGAAGCTGTCCGCAGCCTCTGCAGTGCGGATTGGATTCCCGTTTGGCTAGGGAGATTCCCACATGGCGCGGCAGACCTCTTCTGTCGCCCCTGCTGCTCCTCTCAGCAGTGCTTTCGATCCGTCTGCCTGTTCTGCTCCCCACTGTGTCTCTGGTGAATCCTCTCACCCTCCCGTGCCTCTGGCCTGTACCCCAGCTATTGTATAAATAAAATAAATAAATAAGTAAATCTTTTTAAAAAATGAAAAAAATTTAATTTAGAGTAACCAAGAAAAGTTAACTGAGATTCTTATACAGAGCCAAGAGCTGTGAGAAAGTAAAATGACTCAAAGGTAAGATCAGCAACTTAATATCTGTATAAGCTTTATAACTGAACTGTTGATTCTTAGAACATTAGTGAGGAAAGGTATTACGATGATTCCCACCCTACAGAAGAGACAAACAAGGCTCAGAAATGGAAATGACTGGTTACAAATCACTCAACTTTGAAGAAATTGGGACTGAAACACAAATTGCATGTTTTTTCTATGATATCACAATGTTACTTTGTAAAAGCAGTGACTTTGGTACAGCTGATTTTTTTTTTAAGATTTATTTATTTATTTATTTATACAAGAACCCGGGTACAGTCAGAAGCGCAGGAGGGTGAGAGGATTCACCAGAGACAGAGCGGGGAGCAGAACAGACAGACTGACGAAATATACTACACTGCTGAGGGAGCAGCCAGTGAAACAGGAGGGGTCTGCAGTGCCATGTGGGACCCTCGCCTCCGGCCGGGATTGAACCGGCGCTGCAGAGGCTGCAGACAGCTTCACAGCGCGGCGCTCAATCACCTGCACCACCAGGGGAGGCCCGGTATGGCAGATCTTATGAATATGTTGAAACCTTTGTTCTTCAGAGTGTTGGCAGTCCTGAATTTGGGCTTACACCTGCTGGTGTACACTCTAATTCTGGAGTACTGGGTCTTCATTCTCTTCTTGTCAGGATGGATTTATATTGATTTATAATGCAGTGCTTAGAAGCACAAACTCCTGAGACAGGCCTTAGCTCTGTCACTAATAGCTGACCTGGGCAAGTTACATAACATTTCTGGGCCTCATTTTCTTGTAGTGTTAAGATGGAGATGATAATAGCACCTCCTCATAGGATTGTTGTAAAGATTAAATGAGTTTGCTTATGAAAAATGCTATAGGGCCTCCCCGGTGGCGCAGCGGTTGAGCGCTGGGTTGCGAAGCTGCCCGCGGCCTCTGTGGCGCCGGTTCGATCCCCGGCTGCTCCCCGGCCACCGGAGGAGGGTCCCACATGGCGTGCAGACCTCTCCTGCCGCCCGCTGCTCCCCTCAGCAGTGTACTTCGGTCCTTCTGCCTGCTCTGCTCCCCGCTCTGGCTCTGGTGAATTCTCTCACCCTCCCGTGCTTCTGACTGTACCCAGTGCATGTATAAACAAACAAACAAACAAACCAGCAAACAAATAAATAAAGCATGCCTCTATAAAAAAAAAAAAATGCTATATACAGCTTAGTTAGTATTGCCCATTGTTCACCACATGCTTCATAAAGGTACTATAAGATGCTTGTGAAAAATCTCTGGTTAGATGCTAAAGCTAAGAAAAAATCTTACCTCTAAAGTTCAGAAACTAGTACACTCCTTTTATTAAGTACGGGAGCTCCCGGTGGCTTTCTCAGACTTTTATTGAGCTTTTATATGTAGTGCAGCAACCAGGTACATGGCAGGTAGGGGGTGGTGAGGGGGGTTGGGGGGTTTGGTGGCCAGGAGGCCAGTAGGCCTCCCAGCCCCTGGCAAGTCTTCACTCTGGGCTTCTCTGGTTTTCCTTCTTCCCTTCTCTCTCCTGCCTCTTCTTTCCTTGGCCAATGTCTCAATACTGCAGGCATGGCCCACAGAAGCAAACAACACAACTTCTAGCAATGTAACAAATGCAGGGGCCCCATCAGGCAGGGCAATCCTAATGTGGGGAGGGCAGAAAAGCCTGAAAATCATTTACCCTACACTTGCACAGAGTAGAAGCTTTAAAATCCTCTTTATTTATTTATTTTTTTTTAAATAATAAATTTTATTTTTATATTCCCCATACAACTGCACATGCCCCATTCTGACCCCAATCCCTCCCCTCCCGCCCCCACCCCCCAAAAAGTGTCTCTGGTTCATAGTTTTTTGTTGATTTTGATTTTCACTTTCTTATAGTTATTCATTTTCCTGATCCCTTATTTAAGTTTTCTAGATTCCTGCTATGAGTGAGACCATCCGGTATTTTTCTTTTTCTTTTTGGCTTATTTCGCTGAGCATGATCCCTTCCAGCACCATCCATGTTGCTGCAAATTGCATGTGTTTATCTTTTTTGAATGCTGAGTAATGTTTCATGGTATATATGTACCACATCTTCTTGATCCAGTCATCTATTTTTGGGCATTTGGGCTGTTTCCAAAGCTTAGCTATTGTAAATAGTGCTGCTATAAACATAGGGGTGCAGGTGTTCTTTGGAATTGATGTTTCTGTGTCCTTTGGGTAAATACCTAGGAGTGGAATTGCTGGATCATATGGAATAAAATCCTCTTTAAATTGAATAATAGTAATACTACCAGAACTGAAAATGGTAGCTGCAGATCTTTCAAGCTCAAGGTCCAGATGTTTCAAGTTTTTCTAATATACCTGCCCTCTACTCCCTAACTCATTTATCTGAAAGGGCAGAGACCAGCAAAAGGATGAGTAACAATTCCTATAAAATTCACGTCAGAGTTTTGTGACACTGCAAAATTTTTATCCCCGTGCCTTAAGTTTGGGTCACTATTCATTTCTTTTGCACACAGTTCAGGGGTTTATTTTTAAGTTATTGTGGCGAAATAGGTCACATCCCTAGGTATTAAAGAGCCTCAGCAGGGGATTGCAAATTTTCTCTCATTCTTAGGTTTCCCGCAAAGCTCGATCGATGGGGCCATACTCGGGCTCACCGAATGAGAGCGGAGCGATCCACAAGGTGACCAGGATAAGGAAGGAAAGAATAAGGCTAAGAGCAAGTTTGGTAAAATAATATAACCTTTTCTAACGCAACTACTAGGTGGCGACCTTGCAGCCTTGCAGCACTGCCTCTGCCCACCCATAGGGCAGTGCTCACTGGGCCCCGCCCACAGCCGCGCTAGGTCCCGCCCACAGCCGCGCTAGGCCCCGCCCACACCCTCACTAGGTCCCGCCCCAAATCGACTCCGCTGAATCCGCCGCCTCAGCCACGGGCTGGTCCGCAAGGCGCTTGCGCATTTCCTAAGGCGTCTTGAGACTGCCCGAATCTAAATAGGGGGGAAGATGATACTTCGTATTTTCCACCTACCCCAAACCTGCGGTTTTATGCTCTTTTCTGGAGGTGGTCTTGTCCTTTTCGATTCTGAGGATCCGACTTGTAGGCTATTACAGTTTAAGAGCGCTTGTTTTAAGTTAGGCGATATTTAGACAGCCCAATTTCTGGAGCAGGGTCCTTAGGCTGTGCCGACGGGCGACAGCCAGGAAGGCGGGGTCCTTCTCTTCGGGCGGTCGCGCAGGCAGCGGCTGCGGCTGGCTGGACACCCGGCGTCATGTACTACAAGTTTAGTGGCTTCACACAGAAACTGGCGGGAGCATGGGCTTCCGACGCCTATAGCCCACAGGTATGGGTAGTGCCACGCCGGCTCCGATAGGAGCAGTGCGGCCCAAGCCTCTCCGCCTTGCAGTTGAGGCGCCGTTAACGGGACGAAGTTGCTGCCAGCGGTTCGGTTTATTTCATCCTGCATTTGTCCGCGCCTCTATATCGGCTTGTTGCGGCCAAAGAAACTTCTAATTATGTAGCTGCTGTTGCGGCGGGGCTGTCCTGGCGCGGAAGTTGGTTGTGGCATTCAGCAGGTGTCAAGGTGACCCCCAGGCTCGTTGCTTGTGGGTGTTGGGGTGACTCGTGGGGTCCGCGGCGTCCAGAATGCCACCCGGCCGAGTCCAAAGTTAGGCTCTCCTCTATTTCAGGAAACATGGTTTCGGTCTCCTCAGTGCCCCATTGTCAACCCCTATTCCCGCCCCCTTCTTCTACCCCCTTCCCCCATACACACATCCCTGATGCAACCCCAAAGGTTGCCTCGTCTAAGCATTTGGGGAGCTGGGATGATGCCACCGAGGGAAACCATAGGGGCAGAAGGGATTCATGAGTTCCTTCAAATTCCAGGTGAGCTTGAGCAGTTACATGCACGGAGCTTTCACTTTCCCATTGTTAACAAATGCCCTTTTTAAAAAAAAAAAAAAAAAAAAAAACTTCCGCATTCACTCACATTTTGCCATTTTAGAGTTTGAATTTCCAGCTGTGGTGTAGAGATGAAGTTTACATTCCTGCATTTAATTTGGCCTCAAAATTCTGGTTTGGCTACTTTGGTTTTATGACCTTGACTAGGTAAATACGTTGAGTTTCACCTGGAGAAGTTTTAGTCCAGGTTAAATGAGGTGTTTGTCAGGTGGCAAACAGTATTAAGCAGGTGACTGGTACTGGATGAGTAACTTTTCCCCGGAATATAACTTTTCCCCTGAAGCTAAGTGCAAGACCCTGTCATATTCCTATCCTCAGTGTGGGAAGGGTTGAAGTATGCATTTGGAAAACTGGACTTGAACAGTGTGGGTCCCAGGTGCAGCTGTAAAGGAAGAGTCATTATTGCAACTTTTTCTGTGGGATACTGCAGCTTGCCTAAGGGTGAGAATTTCAATCTAAGATTAGATACACTATTAAGTAGGATGGGGAGGGAGCTGGAAAGGCAGTTTTTGTGGGTGTGGTATTGTGGAGAAAGGGTTCAGGTTTATAAATGTTGAATTTGTGGTGACCTGTTATGTCTGGTAGCATTTGGATTTTCATTGTGGCCTTTAATAGATGTGGTAGGTGGTGGTGGAATCTGTGGTGGAGACATCACTCAGGGAGTCTGTAGGAGAAAAAGGTGGGAATATAATTACACAACAAAAACATTGGGGATGGTGGAGGAAATTTGTCAAAAAGAACAATCCAGGGTTAGAAGGAGAATCCGCATTATTGAAACAAAAATAATAGCAAGTTCTAAAGAAGGCATTGGCAGCTGTGATCTTGTACCGATTATAGGAAAATAGCTATTTCTATCATATCTTCTCTACCAAAAAGAAAATATATTTTTCAGTGTAGATTTTAAAGTATGTACATGAACATACTTTTGTTCATGACAAAAGTATGAGCTTTGTAAACCATACCCCTGTTAACATACAGAACATTCCATCACCCCTAGAAAGTTCCCTGTTACTCTTGCCCTGTCAATCCCTGTCCACCTTCCTGTTCTGACTTATTACTATAAATAGTTTTGCCTATTTATAGTAAATTTTAAATTTCAGATAAAAGTAACTGTATGGTACTGTTGTGTAAGGCTTTTTCTCTGAAGTTCATTCATATCACATGTTTTCTTTTTGTTGCTGTGTAGGATTTCATTGTATAAATAAATCACAGTTGATCAAGTCTGTTGGTGGTTGTAGATGTTCTCTTGATTTTTACCATTATTTAGGTTTTGTTATCTAAGAAGGAAAAAGTGATGTTTTATACTAAAAGTGACAGATTGAAATTAAATTGGCACTCAAGAGCAGAGAGTACTCCGAGATCCGTTTAGTATGGATAGGGCTTTCAGATTTTCAGCACAGCTTGAATTGTTTCTCTTGGGAATTTGAACTTGTTACTTAAGGATTTCTTAAGTTATGTTGAAGGAAGTAATATTGTGTAGGCTTTATATGAATTGTAGATTTCAGAGTAATTGTGACAGGCACCCTCCAAACCAGGTGTTCTGACTTTGGTAATTAGGAATACTTCAGTTTTTCCTTTCTTGGAAACATTAGCACACTGTGAAACGTAGATGCTTCTACCTTGCAGTGTTATATAAAGAGAATAACGTAATATGCATTAAATAACCTAATAAGGAAAAGCTAGTTCTCTAACAATAGTACAGGTAGAGATTGATGGCAAGTAAGTGTGGTGAGGGTATTTTTCAGTGGTTGGTTGAAAAGCATTTCCTTGTCTTTCTGTGTCCTATGTTAAAAATAAAGTGAGGGCCTCCCCTGGTGGCGCAGCGGTTGAGCGCTGGGCTGCGAAGCTGCCTGCAGCCTCTGCAGCGCCGGTTCGATTCCTGCCCGCCGGCGAGGGGCCCACGTGGCGCGCAGACCTCTCCTGCTGCACCCACTGCTCCCCTCAGCAGTGTACTTCGTTCCTTCTGCCTGTTCTGCTTCCCGCTCTGGCTCTGGTGAATTCTCTCACCCTCCCGTGCTTCTGACTGTACCCAGTGCTTGTATAAATAAATATATCTTTAAAAAATAATAAAAATAAAGTGAAGCCAATAAGCAAGTGAAAAGATAATATTGGTCATTAGGGAAATGCAAATCAAAATTACAATGAGATACTGAAACAGAGCTATAGGGTGCTGCAGCCTCAGTAGAGGAAGGGCCAAGGTGGGCTTTTTTACCCTCATGCACAAGTACAAGACCATTCAGCCTCAGGGAACAACAACAGTGGGGTTTATTTAACAAATGGGTAACAAAGTTTCTAAGGCCACAAGTGGCCGGCTCTCTCACCCCAGTTAGTGTCCACAGTGTCCAGAAGTTCCAAATGAAAGGTGGCTCATCCAAGATCTTGCTGTCCTGTCAATGAGGGCTTGGATGCTAGCAAGCAGCGGGCCAGGAGCCAACTTCAGTACAGCTGGAGGTGCTTCCAGGTGGGGCTGCTGAGATAACCTGCAGCAACAGTCTGAAGGTGAGGATGGACAGCACCAGATGCTGGACCAGACAGCAATAGAGGCAGCAGCACTGGGAGGCAGTACCCAATAAACAGGATCGGTTAACAGCTTTCAGAGGGGATGTAGACACAGAGTGCTGGTCCCTTGTCAACAGTGCTGGGTAGGACTGGCCACTAGTCCCAGTCACCACTAGTCATTACCAGTCACTAGAAGGCAGTGTAAGATATACCAGCATTAACAGCTCTTTGTGAGTTGTTGGCCCACACCAACAACAGCTCTTTGAGACACTAGGGCCGGAGCCTTTGGTGCTCCTTTTTAGGTAGGGCTAGAAGACAGTGGCCCCAGGCCTCTGCAGAGCTCTTCAGCTTTCTTCAGCTGTCAGCTGCTGCTGCTTTTTTCTTTATTCTTCCTTTTTTGGAGACAGGAACAGAGTCCCAAGCTGGTGCCTGCATTGACTTATATCGTCTTTCTGGGTGCCCCACCCATAAGTCTGATTGGATCATCTTCAATCCTATGGCATGTTAGACCATTTAGCACTAATCAGCTCATAGCTCAATCATTCTCATAGCTCATTCATTCTACCATCTGCACCTGGTAGCCCTTCCGCTTGTGCTGTGGGGTCCTAATTTCAATACCACTTGATATCTGTTAAATTCAAGGGCAAACAACATGTGTTAGTGGCAAATGTGGAAACCTGCAACCCCACTACATTACTGTAAGGGTTGTAAAATGGTGCTGCCACTTGGGAAAACAGTTTGGTAGTTTCTTAAAAAGTTAAATGTAATTTTAGCATATGACCTAGTAATTCCTGTCCTAGTTGAGATGGCAGAATGATATTGTAGCTAAAGAGAATTGTGAGAATGAAGGAGAGAGCATGTTGAGTTTGGGTTGTGGAGGGAGATAGATTATGAAGTACATAGCATGGTTGGACTTAATTTTGTGAGATATCAGTGCCATCAAGCAACTTGATGCAGAAAGTTGTAGAGTTTTATCCAGAGGTGAAACGAAGGAGTGCTTCTTAGCTTCAGTTTCATGAAAAGTTCATGATGGAGAAGCAAGTACCATGACCAGATCTACACTTTGAAAAGATAATCTCACTGGGAGAGTCTCATGTCAGGAATGCCTGTTATACCCATAAGATAGTTTGGTATGTAAGAATGGAGAAAGTATTAGAGGTCTGGGCGATAACGATTTAGCATTGAGTTGAGAGAAGTTTTTAGGGATGAGGAAGGAGGACTGCAAGATGGCCTGGCATTGGAAGGCTGGTAGAGCTTTCCACAAAGAACAGGTTGCTCCTGAGCTGGCATGTGAAAGAAACTGGGTAAATTTTGGGTGTGCAGAGTAAGATCTTGGGGTATCTTGGCGGTGGTAACATCTGGCTGGAACAAATGAAGGACTGAGTCACTGGATTGAACCTTGTTTCTTAGTCATAAAAGAGTATGTTTTGGGTTTCTAGCATTTAAAAATTACATTTTTTTGGGGGGGTAATTCTCCCTCCTTCACAAACTGAATGGTAGAAGTAAAGGAAAACTTGGGGGAAAAATTATACTTTAAAAATTTGGAGCAACTTAAGTAGACTAGGAAGAATTCAACTACTAAATGTGGCTGTGGTTGAATGGCTCTGTGCGTGTGTGTGCGTGTGTGTGTGTAGGTGGGTAGAACTGCGCTCTTAATTGTAGAGGTAGTGATTGTGTAAACAGCTAAGAGATTTGATATTAAAAGTAAAACCTGTGATTGTTACTTAGTCTATTTTAACAACAGTGTTCAGCTGTTTTGCTGTTGCTGTGGGAGTTGTGGGAGAATTTACCATCAAATGCTGATTTACGTGACTTTGGTTCCGAAGTTTCAATTCTTCTTTTGTAGATTTATACAGTTCAACAAATATTTACTGAATGTACACTCTGTGCCAGTCACTTTTCTTGGGAAATAACAGTAGTGAACAAAACATGCCAAATCTTGCCCTCCTGAGCCTTCCATTGCAGTAGGGGGAGACACAGTAAACAAAGCAGAATGGAGTATGTTAGATAGTGATGAGTGCTGTGGAGAAAAATAAGGCAAGAAAGGGAGAGGCAGGATAAGAGGGAGGACATGCAGTTTTTAAAAGGGTAGAAACATTAGGTTTCACTGAGAAGGTAACGGGCAAAATCCTGATGGAAGTTGAGGGTGCAAGCCACATAAAGAGCTTTCTAGATAGAACACGCTTGGGTAGTAAAGTGAACTGGAGCAGAAAAAGGAAGATATAAGGGGAAATATTGAGGGGTGCATGTTGTGGAGCCCCGAAAGACATTGCAAGAATTTTGGAGTTTTTCTCAGTGAGGTGGGATGCCTTCATGAGTATGTCAGCTGAGTAGTGACATCATCTGTTTTCACAAAATCACTGGTTACTGCATTAATAGTAGAGTCCTGGAAATGAGAGCAGGGTGACCAATTAGGAGGCCATTGTAAAAGTCCAGGGGTTTGAGCAGAGTATAGATTAGTGGAGATAGGTGAGAAGCAATCAGATTCTGAATACATTTTGAAGATAGAACTAAAAGGACTTGCGGTGTGTGAGCAAGAAGTATTAATAATTTCAAAGTTTTGGAGTACCCGGAAAGATAGCATTGCCATTTTTTGAGATGAGCAGAGGTATTTGAGCTTTTAAGTTACTGTCAACTTTAGCACTGGAAGAGAAGGTGAAGGAATTTACTCTAGACCCTTTTCTGTAAATACAACTTCCTGGTCCAGTCCATGCTTGAAAGCCCTAGTGCTTGAGAACCCTAGTGCTTGTCCTGTCTAGCTCTGTAAACATTGGAAATATTGATTGCTCTCAAATTGTGAGGAGGTTTAATAGTGAGTAGTTGCAATACCTCACTACTGTATCTGTTTTATCTGTATGGCCAAATCAACGGATTTATTTATCCTGTGGTGTAATAAAAGTGGGTTAGAATTCCATCTCCCTTGTGGCATCTCTGAGTTGTTTTAATCATCTGTAACATGGGCTGATCATAATGTCTCATTTATAGTAAATTTAGTTGTGAAGATTGTGTAAGAAGCTGAACAAAATGCTAATTAATAAATGAGAACAACCGAATATAGGATTTTACACGCTCTCTGTAAAGATACTTAAATATACCTGGGAAAAAGACTGGAGAATATACAACTATTAATAGTTGATGTGATAAGGCAATGGATTTTTAGGTAACTTTAAATATTGATATTCTAACTTTTATATTATAAATGGAAATATGGAACTATTTGAGACTGTTAAGGTGGCTGTTACTCCCGTTTCCAGATGATAATTGTCCAAAAACTGCTGTAGTTGTGAACATTTGATGGGTGAACAAACACAAAGAAGCTAGGTGTAATCCCATCTAAAAATGCTCCTGGCAGGGCCTCCCTGGTGGCGCCAGGGGTTAGGACACAATCTGTGGGGCTGTTTGCAGCCACTGCAGCATGATTTCGATTCCCTGGCCAGCCAGGGAGCGACCCACATGGCATAGCAGACGTCTCCTGCCTTACCCGCTGCTCCCCTCAGCGATGTGTTTCAGTGGATCTGCCTGTTCTGCTCCCCTCTCTGCCTCTGGTGAATCCTCTCACCCCCACCCCCACCCCCGCACCTCTGGCCTGTACCCCAGCTCTTATATGCTGAATGAATGAATGAATGGATGAATAAATGAATAAATCTTTAGAAGAGGAAAAAAGAAAAAAAAATAAAAATGCTCCTGGCAAAACATGAATTTAATTTCAGACCACTTTTATAAATGCTTGGTAGGAAGACTTTTAAGATTTTTTCATTCAAGGGGAAATGATCATTAGGAGAAAATACAAAGAGCTCACAGAGTAAGAGTATCTAAAATTCCCCAGTTCAATGAGATTCCTTTTGCCTTGTTATCTCTGTAGTTAGGGCCCCAGTTCCTTTCTCTGCCTCCTGAGTGTGTTTAAGTACTAGATATAGGCTAAATGCTTACTCACCAAGCTTTCTCTTTGTACGGATTCTTGTTTGTAAGCAATAGTTAAGGGGCAACGGCAAGGGCAGGTAGTGGAATACTTAAAAGCCAGGCCTCTGGTCTTTAGAGAGGCGTGAGTTTGAAATTTGATTTTCTTTGATTCGGTTTTCTCCTCTGTAAAGTGAAAATAGTTACATATCCCTAGGGGTGCATTCATGATTAAATGAGATGAAATATTTAATATGATGCTGGTCACTTAACAAGAGCTTGGTAGATATTAGCTACAGTTATTTTATAACGTTAATATCCATAATGGCAGAGATTTTATCTTACTCATTGTATATGTTCAACAAAGTATAAGTGCTCAGTAATATATATTGAAAGAGTGCGTGTAGTACAGAAAAAAGACAGTGATTCATTCCTATTTATGGGACTGTGTGAGAAGAAATGGAAGCCAAATAACTTTTGTTGCCCTTTTGATTCTAAGGGCTGCCTGGTGGGAGAACATTGAGGTTTTCAATATTCTGTTTCCAATATTCTGTTTTCAGAATTCTAGATATGTCCTAGAAGGGCTCAAGAACCTGTGGTCTGATGACTGTGTCAACTTGGGCAAAGGTTTCCTTTTTCATTTATAAAATGGCAGAGGCTAGGCTTGAACTCTGCTTTATTTGTCCTAGCTAGAATTTAATAAAAGGATGTTACTTTATGGTTTGTAACTCTTTGCTCCTTAGGCAGGTTATTTTGGTGAGCTACTATAGATTGACTCTGTCAGGGAGAAAACCACAGTTCCCTTTAGGTTCCTTTTAAATGTTTAATTTTTTTAAAAGATTTATTTATTTATGCATTTAAGAGCTGGGGTACAGGCCAGAGATGCAGGGGGTGAGAGGATTCACCAGAGACAGAGTGGGGAACAACACAGGTAGACTGATGAAATACACTGCTGAGGGGAGCAGCGGGCAAGACAGGAGAGGTCTGCTGTGCCGTGTGGGTTGCTCCCTGGCCGGCCAGTATTGAACTCATGCTGCAGTGGCTGCGGTTTCTTCATAGTGTGGTGCTTAACCCCTTGTGCCACCAGGGAGACCCTCTTAAATGTTTCATTTTTTATAAGTATATTCTACATATGACATTAGTAACTTTATTGAGAGATAATCCAAGTATCATATATTGATCATTTAAAGTGTACATTCCATTGGTTGTTAGTGTACTCACAGATAATGTACAGTCATCACCATGTCAGTTCTAGAGCATTTTCATCACTTCAGAAAGAGACCTGGATCCTTCAACTATCACTATACCACCACCACCCCCCCTACATTTCTCTGTAGCCTTAAGCAGACTATAATCTACTTTCTGTCTTTTGTAGATTTCCCTCTTCTGGATTTTCCTGTGAATGGGTTTATATAATATGTGGTCTTTTGTGACTGGCTTCTTATATTTAGTGTAATGTTTTCAAGGTATTCTGTTTTTCTCCCCCTACTGGGTTCTTTTTAAGCCTGCATTTGTCCTTCCTTTACCCGTGTCACTGCAGAAACTACAAATAGCAAACTTATGTTAACCCTTAAATCCATTTAACCCTCAGATATATTAGTGAGTACCTGCCGTATTCAGGTATTCCGTAAATACCTGCTTTAGGTACATGTTTATTACCATACAGTCCTTTCAGTGGTAGCTCTTATAGCTATTACACACATGCACAGATGAGAACACTGGTATTTTCCTTTCCTATTTTTGGCCTTTGTCTTTTTCTTTTAAATGTCTTATATTTTTTTATTGAGGTAACGTTGATTTACATCATTGTATTTGTTTTAGGTGTTGTATGCTAAAGCCTCTCAAATATGTGTTTTCACACTGTACCTACCACCAGAGCCCCAGTAATCCTCCACTATGCTCCTTTGGGCCTCCTCCCTCCTCTGCTGCATCTCCTGCTTGCCTCTGTTGCAGCCAGAGGTCAGGGGTTTATTATTGCTTTGGTTTTGTCTGATCCTTTGTTTTGTTTCTTTCTATTCCACATGTAACTAAAACCATCTGGTATTTGTCTTTCTCCTGACTTACTTCACTTAGTGTTAAGTCCATTTTAAGGTTACAGATTCCATATTTGTGTATAACTTCACCCAAAGGAGAAAAGGAACAGCCATTAAAACTCTTAAAATCTAATTAAAAGTTAATACAGGTTATAAAGATTTTATTGGTTTGATAAGAATATAGGCACATTAGGTATTTCTAGAAGCTCATAATGAACTTTTGTTGTTGCTTCTCTCACCCTTTGCATCCTCCTCCATCTTAATAGCAGACAGTTGTTCTGACAGTTTGCTCTGGGAAAAGCGGGTGTTCTATTGAAAATTTAAGAATTTTCACATTAAACTTAAAATGAAAAGCCTTGTGGGCCTCCCCGGTGGCGCAGCGGTTGAGCGCTGGGTTGCGAAGCTGCCCGCAGCCTCTGCAGCACCAGTTTGATCCCCAGCTGCTCCCCGGCCACCAGAGGAGGGTCCCGCATGGCGCGCAGACCTCTCCTGCCGCCCGCTGCTCCCCTCAGCAGTGTACTTCGGTCCTTCTGCCTGCTCTGCTCCCCGCTCTGGCTCTGGTGAGTTCTCTCACCCTCCCGCGCTTCTGACTGTACCCAGTGCATATAAACAAAACAAACAAATAAATAAATAAATAAAGTTAAAAAAAAAAAAAAAAAAGAAAAGCCTTGTAATGTTAGAGATACCTTCCTTCCCTCTCGTGTGGTTGAGTAACAACTGCCTCTTCTATTCCAGACAGCCTGCGCCTTGAAAGTTTTGTTCAGAGGCCCAGACATGCTTTCAACTTGACATTTTCTTTTTTCGTACAGGGATTAAGGCCTGTGGTTTCCAGAGAAGCACCGCCTATCATATTTGCCACACCAACTAAACTGACTTCTGATGCTACTGCATATGATTATGTTGGGAAAAACAAAGTTCCAGAGATGCAAAAATTTTTCCAGGTGAGAGAATACGCGTTAGAACAGAGAAATCTTTGCAACAGATAGACTTTAAAAACCCTATGAGGGGGGCCTCCCTGGTGGCACAGCGGTTGAGCGCTGGGTTGCGAAGCTGCTCGCAGCCTCTGTAGCACTGGTTCGATCCCTGGCCGCCGGGCGAGTGTCCCATATGGCGCGCAGACGTCTCCTGCTGCCCGCTGCTCCCCTCAGCAGTGTATTTCGGTCCTTCTGCCTGTTCTGCTCTCCGCTCTGGCGAATTCCCTCACCCTCCCACGCTTCTGACTGTACCCAGTGCTTGTATAAATAAATCAGTAAATCTTTAAAAAAAAAAAACAAAACCCTATGAGGGGCCTCCATGGTGGTGCAAGGGGTTAAGACGCAGCGCTATGAAGCTATCTACAGTCACTGCAGCACGAGTTCGATCTCTGGCCTGGGAGGTGACTCACATGGCCCAGCAGACCTCCCCTGCCTCATCTGCCGTTCCCCTCAGTAGTGTATTTCATTACATCTGCCTGTTCTGCTCCCCACTCTGTCTTTGGTGAATCTTCTCACCTACTGCATTTTTGGCCTGCACCCCAGCTCTTGTATGCATAAATAAATAAATCTTAAAAAAAGAACAAAAAACCCTATGAAACTGAGTCTTAATCTAGTTTACTACCCACTTTTCCTCTTTTCCCTTAAGTAGAATTCTCTTGAGCCATAAACTAGAACGGTTTTGTAGTAGAAACTGCTAAGAGGGAAGGGTGATTAATTTTTGCATCTGTATTTAAGAATATGCAGGTTTTCAAATTACATATATAATTGTTGATTATCCTGTGGATGGAGGAAGCACTAGCGTGCATAACAACACTGAATAATCCAATATATATTTGACTTTGTGCACATGCAATGACATTTGGCAGAAAGTTTTCTTCTACTTCTTTTTGATAATAAAATTCACTGAACTGTTGCTAGAACTAGAGGAGGTTTGGGTTTGCTGATAAAACAGAGAGATGCCAGAATTGGCTCTTTAAATATTAACAATTTCTATATAGATAATTGAGAGGTCATTGACCTGATATATATCCATATACATCTATATGGGAGTGTCAATGCTTGTTTCTGTTGTTGCTCCTCAAAAATATGTCCTGATGCAGTACCAACATAGAAACTTTTGATGTGTTCAGTCCCCTTTTATCTGAAAAGTAAGACCTGAGCAGGCATTTGGGGTCTTGAGTTGCTGTGGAGAGGGAATTTGGAGACTGCAAGATAATGGGTTAAATATTTTGGAATCTCATTATTAAGTGGGGGTTTTTAACAGGCTTATCAGAATGAAGTCAGTTGAATACAAAATGGATTTGAATGAGTAATTGACCTGGTGTGCTTAGACTTCACTCACTAATGATCAGAAGTCAACCTAAATGGAGAGTCTTTCTTTTTTAAATATTTTCAGCTGCTTAATTTCTTTCTTTCTTTTTTTTTTTTTTTTAGATTTATTTATTTATTTATACAAGCACTGGGTACAGTCAGAAGCGCGGGAGGGTGAGAGAATTCACCAGAGCCAGAGCTGGGAACAGAATAGGCAGACTGACGAAGCACACTGCTGAGGGGAGCAGCGGGCGGCAGGAGAGGTCTGCGCGCCATGTGGGACCCTCCTCCAGTGCCCGGGGAGCAGCTGGGGAGCAAACCGGCACTGCAGAGGCTGCGGGCAGCTTCGCAACCCAGCGCTCAACCGCTGCACCACCGGGGAGACCCTGGAGAGTCTTTTTTATGCCTGTAGTTTTTTGTTTAGTTTACCTTCTTAAAAAAATTTTCACCAGTGCTCCTTTCCTAGTTAAGCAATATGTAATAAAATCCTTAGAAATTTGGAATTTGTTGCATGCACGATTTGGAGGCTGCATTTTAGAAAATAACTTTGGAATTATAAGCCTTAGCACATTTATAAGAAAATGTCAGTATTTCCGTACTGAATCAGGGCTTTTCTCACTGCAGTGTGTTAATGAGTTATGAGGTGGAAACTTTTGTGCTTTGTTAGCCTATTGATTGTAAAATGTTTTTCATAACAACCTTGTCCTTAATAATTCTTGCTTTCAAGAGATCCGATGGTGTGCCTATTCACCTGAAACGAGGCCTGCCTGACCAAATGCTTTACCGGACCACCATGGCACTGACAGTGGGAGGGACCATCTACTGCCTGATTGCCCTCTACATGGCTTCACAACCCAGAAACAAATGAGTCAGCTGCATAGGACTGGTTTGCTTTTTGGCATAAACCCTTTGAATTTTCATTTTTCATTGTTTCTGTAATTTTTTTTTTTTTTACTTGAATGCCTGCTTAACATTTTACAAGAAACAGATATTAAGACAACATTTTGGCTTGTTTATGAAATTCACATGGCCTTTCAGAGCTCATTCAACAGTTAAAACTTGTTTAAAGAAATGCTGCTGCTCTCCTTGTTTGGGGTCCTGATTTCCCTGGTGGTGCTGGATGAAGGCTGTACACAGGCTCGTTAACAACAGTGTGTGCTGAGGTCCATGGGGACTTATGCGGTTGAGCATGCGGGTGTAGAAGTCTTTCTGGATTTGGATGTGACTGAGGAAGGAAGACAGAAGCCAAGACCAGGTGCTTGAAAATGAGGGGTTTGAGTTAGTAGTCGCCTTGGGGATTTTGTACTCATGCAGTAAAATGTTAATAGAAATTATTTGCAGCCTGCTTCTATTCATTGGGCAGTATGTTTCAAAGGGTTTTTGCCTCATCTCAGATCGTGACTGAAAATTTATGTATAATTGTTATGTATTTATTCCACCATGGGAACAGAGAACACCTGTTTAGTGTTGCACTTTAGACTGATGTCTGTTTCATTAATGCAGCTGTGACAAATTCTCCTTTACCTTTTAAAAATGTTATGGCTTTAAATTATGATTTATTTTGATTGTGGAATAAATACATGAATGAAAAATCTCAAGTTTGAAGTCCTTTTAAATGACCTTTTTAAAGTAATTTCCGAATACCAGAGACATCTTAAACCTGATTCTAATTTGTTTTTAATTAGGCACCAGATAATCTTTACAAAATGGTTCCTTAAAATCAAATAATAGGAAGCTAATGGCATATTGATGGTTACCATATGGTTCCTTATATGGAACCTTCTGGCCCCTTATGAAATGTGCCTGTAACACACTGTTCATTTAGACATTAATTTCCTGTACTATCACAATTGGTAGACTTCACATACCCTATATTTTGAAATATAGGTTGAAATAGCTGAAAAAAGTAGAGTTTTATGATGTATAAACTTGTGGTCTGTATCTTGCAATAGCAAAGAATAGTGACCTCTTAACTGGGGATAAAATAGTGTTTGAAAACAGAAGCATTCTTATAGGTTAGGAAGCTCTCATTTTTATAGGTCTAAACTTTCTTCTGTGCTAATATTTCTAAATTTTTGAAAAATTAGACTATAAAAAGATTGTAAGAACAGTACAATATACACTGTATGTCCTTTATTAGATGACTGGCTATTGTCGCCTTTGCTTTTTCTCACAAACACAGGCACACACGAATGTACATATGTGTATATTTAGGTTTTGCTCAGCTATTTAAGGTTAAGCAATGGAATTACTGTAATTCAGCCATAAATACTTTAGCCAGTATCTTCTAAGAATATTTTCTTTCATAACAAGGATTCAGTCTTTACACTGATGGTAATACGACTACTTATTATATTACAGTTGACCCTTGAACAACATGGGTTTGAACTGCAAGGGTCTGATTTTACATAAGTTAACTTTTTTCCAAACCACTTAACCTAGAAATATTGAAAAAAAAATTAAAGAAAAGGTATGTCATGGATGTATAAAATGTATGTAGATGATAATCTATTTTGTCATTTATAGTACTGTTTTTTCCTCTTACGATTTTCTTTAGCTTACTTTTGTGTTGTAAGGAAACTGTATGATACATATAATAAGCAAAAGATGTGTTAATTGACTGGTTATGTTATTGGTAAGGTTTCTGGGTGACAGCAGGCTTAGTTAAGTTTGGGGGAGTCAGAAGTTATTCGTGGATTTTCTACTGGGGGGGTGGGCATTCGTGCCCCTAACCTTTCCATGTTCAGGAGAAACCTGTAATCTATATTTAAATTTTCTCAGGTAGCCTAATAATACATCCTTTATAGTTGTATTTTTTTTTTTTTTTTTTAAACAGAGGCATGTTTTTATTTATTTATTTGTTTGTTTGTTTTGTTTACACATGCACTGGGTACAGTCAGAAGCGCAGGAGGGTGAGAGAATTCACCAGAGCCAGAGCAGGGAGCAGAGCAGGCAGAAGGACCGAAACACACTGCTGAGGGGAGCAGCGGGCGGCAGGAGAGGTCTGCGCGCCATGTGGGACCCTCTTCCTGTGGCCGGGGAGCAGCCGGGGATCGAACCGGCGCCGCAGAGGCTGCGGGCCGCTTCGCAACCCAGCGCTCAACCGCTGCGCCACTGGGGAGGCCCTATAGTTGTATTTTTTTAAAAACAATAGCTTTTTAGGATATAACTCATAAGCCATATACATCACCTACTTAAAGTACAATTTACTGACTTTTATTATATTCAGAGTTGTGTAGCCATTGATTGCCACAATCAATTTATAAGTATTTTCATCACCCTAAGAGGATATCCTATCCCCATTAGAAGTCATTCCCCTTCTCTTAGCCCTGGGCAGCAGCTAATCTATTTTTTGTCTCTACAGATTTATCTTTTCTAGAGATTTCACATAAATATAACTATACAATATATGATCTTTGTGACTGACTTTTCTGTAACCTCCGATTTCAAGGTTCTTCTATGTAGTACGTATCAATACTTATTTTACTTCCTTTTTATGGCCAAATAATATTCCATTGCATGGACAGACTGCATTTTTTTTTACCCACTTACCAATTGATAGAATACTGGGTTATTTCCACTTTTTGGCTGTTATGAATAATGCTTCTATGAACGTTGGCGTGCAAATTTTTGTGGGCATATTTTCATTTCTCATGGATATATACCTGTGAGTAGAATTGCTGGTTCATTTGGTAACTCTGTATTTAACTTTTTAAAGAACTTTCAGACTATTTCCAAATCAGTTGTACATTTCCATGAGCAGTTGTAGTTGAGCAGGTTTTTATTTTGGGTTCAGAGTCCTCTAAGGATTGCATATTGCATTTAGGTGTTATGCCCCTTTAGTCACCTTTTATCCACAGTGGTCCCTAATGTGCTTCATGATGGCCTATTGGAAGAGTTCAGGCTAATGTATTGCAGAACATTCTTCAACTTTCATTTGTCTCATCTCCTTATGTTTGGATCTAGGTTACACATTTTTCTTGGGAATTCTTCATATATGATGTGACATCCTATTTATATGATGTTATTGGTACTTGATATCAGTTTGCCCCATTATTGATTAGAAGTTAGACAATTAAGATGTTTGCTACATTTCTCCCTAGTAAAGATACTTTTTCCCCTTCTACCTAAGAAATAATCTGTGGGGTGATATTTGAGAATGGGAATTCTTTGAATCATTTATTACTAAAGTAGTTGTGAAAAAGTGATTTTCTAGTCTATCATTACTTCTACACTGTTGACATTTTCTGTGAAAATGAATACTTGCCCCTTTAAAAAGTTGTAGTGTAAACTTCTCAGTGTGATAACCATTTCTTACTTTCATTCATTCTGATGTTAAAATTCAGCTCAAATTTGTCTTCTCTGTCTTACTGACTTGTCCTGTCAGTCTTTGAGCATCTCTTTACTTCGACACACTTGTTTTCTAGGTTTACTATGTTTTTACCCCCTCCCAGTGATCTCCCCTAACTCTCATGTGTATAGTACTCAGAGATAGATGGACAGATATGATCATATATATATATATATAGGAAAAACATTTATATCTATAACATAAATATATACATATATGTGTGTGCGTGTATGTGTGTGTGTGTGTGTGTGTATGTGTATATAGATGCAGTCCTACTGCTCATAGTTTGAAGATTGTTCTCTGCCTCATTTTTCTGCATCATATCCCATTTTGTGACTACACCGTAATTTAACTAGTCTTTTTTTGGATATTTAGTCTTAAATTTTTTGTTTTCACACTCCTTTAATGTATAAATCATCTTTCCATGTCATTTTTACATATTGTTGGATGTTTGATAGGATAGTTTCTAGAAGTGAAACTTACAAAGCAAAGAGGAATGTGTGTTTTCAATTTCAGTAGCGAGTCCTCACTAAAACAGATGGTGCTGAGGTACCTTCCTATTTAGCCTTGATGAGGGTGCCTGTTCCTCCTCCCTGTGCCAGGAGAATGCATTGTCCTCATTTTCATCTTTGCCAATCTAATAAATGGTAGAATATCTTTGATTTAAATTACCTCTTTTTGTAATTAGTGATGTTGTTTATCTTATTTAAAACTTATTTTTAGGGCCTCCCCTGGTGGCGCAGCGGTTGAGCACTGGGCTGCAAGGCTGCCCACAGTCTCTGCAGCGCCGGTTTGTTCCCCAGCTGCTGGCGAGGGTCCCACAAAAACCAAACAAACAAAAAAAAACAAAAAAAATTATTACAGTTTTTTGATCTTTTCATTTTCAAGGTAAGTTAGATTTCCTTTTTTCGGTGAATTATCTGTGCATGTACTTTGGTCCACTTAGGTCGAGATATTTTTTGATAATGCTGTAAATGCATTTGTCCTTTAGGCTGACTTCCTCAGGAACAGTCTCTGTTCACTTCTGTCTGAGTCAAACCTGAGTGCAAGTCAAGAAATTCAGTAAAACCAGTTAATGCAGGAAGGGGGATTTTCCAGATCCTGAGTGGAGCTGGGTCTTGTAAGGATCACCTTTGGGACCAAAGTGGCCATGCAGCTGTTGAATTTTCTTTCCGCAGATCAGCTATCTCCATTTATCAGTATGCATGGTAGGAAATAGTTGTCTGAACATTGGAAACCAGCTCCAAAATCCTGGAGAAAGAATCATTGAACCATTTTGGGTTAGGTGTTTCTCACTGGACCAGTGAACTATTTGGGGACAGATGTTAAAAAGCATAGATTGTCCCGTTCTTGGGTCTTAACTGATGACTTTGAACCTTTCATTGTATTCTGTTAGGATTATTCCTCCTAAGCATGTTGCTTTGAACCTTTGCCAGGTTGGTTGGTTTACTCAGAAGGGGCCCATGCCCTTTGTCAGTGCTGTCTGGATGAGATGTTGTCAGAGGGACCTTGACTTTCTTTGCCTCTTCCAGGCATGTGGATAGACCATGCCACATACAAGTCTTTACAGCCATGATGTGGGCTTACATATCCCTGGGAGCAGGAAGACTCCATGGGGTACTCAGGCAAGGATAGTTTTAAGGGAATCAACTTTTAAGTCCTCAGCTTCTGTTACACGTCCTAAAAATGAGATGCCTGGGAATATATCTGGTTCGAGGGATCTCTTATGATTTTTTCCTATTCTGTGAAGACAGACAAGTCCTCACCCATTCTAATCAGAGCATTCTGAGATGGTGCTGCTAACAAAACTTATAAACCCTTCTATTTATAAAAGTGAGCTTTCTCAGGGGTTAAGATTTATAAAAACAAAAAATAAGAATGGAATTGGTGCTGAAACTCTTTAACAGTAAGCAAGTTTCACTTGTGGAAATATGAACCAGGTCCTTCTGTCTATTAGGAATACATGTTGCTCAGTTTTAATAATTGTCTGTACAGTTTTCCCCTGCTATCCAAAATTAGCACATTCCTATTTGGTAGGCTATTTTTGGGTAACATTTAGCTGGTGCTGGTGGGGGAAGCTGGGCTATGGCTTCAGTTGTGAGGAACACATAGCACTTGACGTAGTGGGTTGGCTACCTCGTGGTTGAGGGTAGCATCAGCTGACCCTTGTTCTCATTGCACAAGTAGTGCAATTGGGGTGATGCAGCCATCTCCTGAGGTAGGAGGAGGTGGAGTGGTTATCGCAGTCTCCTGCTGCCAGCGGCTGTTACTTACATAGGCTTAAATCGGGAATCCTGACCTTCATGTGGCTGTAGGTGATGGGGTGCTGTGTTACTGCAGGATGGGTGGATTTAGACCAGATGCTGCTTGCTCAGGGTCCGGAGTGTGTTAGATCTGATTTCCAAGGGTGCTGCTGCAAAATACTCATGGAAATGGGGCAAGCAGAGTGGCTGGGAATAGTGTTCTTTAGATAATAATTTTTCCTTGAGGTCTTGCATAGCCCTCCTGGGACATCACGCCTTCTCTTGCCCTGACCTTACCCTCGGTGCCGAGCTTGGTCATGGTCACATGGCTGCACTTCAGGACGTGCTTCTGAAATAGGCCCTCCTGGCCAGTGACTCTGATGAGAGGAGCACATGCTTCATGCCACCCAGCTTGTCCTAATCAGATTGGAATAGTTGCCAACTCCAAATGTCACATTTTGATGATTGTGGGTTGAAGTGGCTGCCCCCAGGCTGTAAGAAGTGGTGCGTTACCTTTAAGCAGGAAGAAGTTTAGAAAGAAGTAGAAACTCATTGCGAAAAGTATTTGGTATAGTTAAAAAGTTTCCAAAGACAGTAAAGGAGAGGCCCTGGGCCCTGGGTGAAGTGCCAGGAAATAGGCTCAGAAATAGCAGAGATTCTTGAAGGTCCGTAGTCACGTAGGAAAGCCCTGGCAGTGCCCTTCACACATGTCAGCACTCCGAAGAGAAGTGGGAAGAGAGTAGTTGGGAGAGAATAGAGTGGAGGTGCCTGAGCCAGGGCCCACCTCAAGGTTCAGCTGTACCAGCTTTGGCTTAAGTTGTCGAGAGGGTCAAGGAACTGGGAGGAGCCAAGGAAGTTGCTGCTTGGTTGTTAAGAGTCCACCTCTCCTCAGGGAGGCCCTGGCTCGAGTTGTGGAAGTGCCTTGCCTCTGGAGAGGGAGGGAGGGGGAAAGATGTAAGATCTTCCAGAATGGATAACAACTGTCAGTCTCTAAGCTCTTCTTCCCCTCCCCCATAACTCCCCTGCTTAGGCCACAAAACCTTCATGTTAGACAGCAGATTAATTTGAAAATTGAGTTGCAGCTAGATGAGTCGATGTCAACTTTAAAGTTCAGTGGTGTTTAATTAAAGCCATCCAGAGACTAAACCTGCTCCCAGGAAATTATTCTGACCGAATAATTAAAGAGAATAAAGGTTAGATTTGTGTTTCTGGCTAAGTCTGTGTTGCATTTGGCATCTCCAAAACATGAATTCCATTAACCTTTCATGAACCAACTTTAAATTGCTTTCAATTAGTTGTCATTCTAATTAACATAGAGTCACACAGAAGAGCCTTTATCCTTGGTGTCTGTTTCCTTTCGCCTCTGGAATTATGTCCTCTTGAACAGCGGTCATTTGGAAATTGGTTTATAACTTTGTGTGTCTGCCTATCCTTCCCTAGTCAGATCCTGTCAATTGAGCTTCAGAAAGAATTGTCAGAGGAAGTAGGCCACTGCTGCAGCGGGAGGGCTGGGGTAAGTAGTTACTACTGTGGTTGGATGGAGGTTTAGCCTTGGGGTAAAGTTAAGGAAGAGTTAAGGTAGCCTGCCAAGCCCAGGCCTCCTCAGGCAGATCTTGGGGAAGTCTCAGGGAGCTGAGATGAGGTGTGGTCTTGCCTTGTGAGTCTGGAGAGGAGTGCCTGCCTTTTCTGCTCTTTACCATACCTTGACTTAGCTTACCTTGAGCCTTTAGGCCTTGGTGTGTGTGGTCTTGCTCCTGCCAGGATGCATCGGAGTCCTCGACTGGACCTGTATGCAGCCTCAGTCTCCTGTGAAAGCCGCACTGCCAGGCTCCTGTCCAGTGGTCACAGCTGGTGCAGTTGGGGAGGACTAGGACACAGCACTGTGTACCTGCTGCAGGTCTTAGTTGTTTGTGTATACTTCTTGAATTTTCTTGATTGATGTGGATGTAATACATTACAAAGAATTTCTGAGTCAACCTGGAGTTCCCAAGGTGTAGGCCATTCCAGGCCCCCAGAACTCAGGAGGAGGGGAAGAGAGATCTATGTTCTTCAGCTCCAGGTGTGGACAGTGTTCATTGGTGATGACCAAACCCTTATTTGAATTTCTTGGGGCCCAAAATTATGTTGGGGACACTTGGGGGCCTTCGTGGAGCTCATCTGGGTATGTGCGCCTGTGCGTGTACAGACACAGATCTCCTAACAGTGTGATGAGAGTAAAGAAAAGAAGAAGAATGGAAAAGTAGGGGAGAAAATATTTTCTCCTCCACACTCTGAGTTCTTAGCTGAGACCCCATCATAAAAGCCACATGAGAGAAAGAGCAGAAGGTTATTAACAAATATTCCTCGAGAAAAATGAAAAAAATGAAAGAAAAAAAATACCTCCTGTGTACATAGATGATACCCGGGGGGAAATGACTTCCTCCCTGTGCGGCTTGGAACTTAGCGGTGTGTTTAAATGTGTTAACGGGGAATGGGGCGTGGAGAAGACCCTAACCCTAACCCTAACCTCCTAGAGGAGAATTAGATTTTTAGGAAAGACCAGCGGGTCCTGGGAAGAGTAGATGAGAGGGGAATCCTCTCATCTCTAGTTTGTGACCGAGCTCGTCTGGCTGTGGTGTGGACTCGGCTCCCCTCCTGAGTCCATCTTCCCTGGTGGATGAAACTCCTGGGGCAACGAGGTTGTCATAGTTCCTTTTGGAGGCTCTGTCTTTAGGTAGATACAGGAGTTCAGAGAAGGCCTTTCCCAGCATTTGCTGTTTTTCAAGTACCTATAACTCAAAATAATCAATATGGCAACACGGCGTATTGTGGGGTAATATATTCTATTCTCCAGAAGTAAGGATGGCAGGAAGGAAGGAGAGCCAGGAGAGAGGACAGGGAGGAAAGAAACCTGGAGCCAGTGGTACCAGGAGAGGATCAGGTTTTCAGGAAAAGGGATGATGACCAACATCACCCAGGCCCCGAGGTCGCCCCCACACTGGCTGCTCGGAGTGGCAAGGCTATGGGCTGTGTTCTTGGGCTGCACTGCTTGTCTTCCCGCGTTCAGTAGTGGGTGTTCCTTGAGCTGTCCAGTGAGTGGCATAGAACAGACCCTGACATTGACTCAGAACAGGGGAGCAAAGATTTCCCGGTCAAGGGCATTCCTGAGAAATCTCTCGTGCTTTGTCCACCACCCCCAGCGGTGCGTATGGCTGTGTCTGTGGTTTCCTGAGTGCCCTCCCAACAAATCCCTGTGTTTAAAGTTGATAATGTTTAATAAAAAATGTAATTAACTGTAATTTAATTTAAAAGAACTTCCTTCTATTTTAATGTGTGGGTTTCCCATAGAAACCACTTCAGCTTTGGCGGCTGTGAATGGCAGCTTTATTAATGGAGCCATCTGCAGGCTTTCCTGACAATCTGCTCACTGCTCTTTGCTTCCAGTGCAAACACTGTTTATTGTGTTGGAGGCCTCAGTCAGTCATCTGGAGGGGACAGACTTCCCACATCCGAGGCCGGACAACTAATCCCTTCTCTGCTCCCTGAGTGCCAGGCCTAGAGCAGGCAGCAGCAGAGCTCAGGTGCTCTCAGGACCTCCCTCCAGGGGTATCAGAGGGTTCTGGTGGGCAAAGCCCTTATGCTTTTCTTTCCACGTGTGACCAGGGGAGTGTGGCCTCCTGACAGTACAGACAGTGCCTAAATTTACCTGCTCCGATGAGGAAAAATGCCATTTTCATTGCTGTACTTCGTTTTTTATGTTGGATTCCTCACTTGTCCCAGGGAAGGCTTGGCCCATCACGACAGGAAAGGGGTTGCTTGGATCTCACTGCTCCTGGGTCCTGTGTGGGCAGAGTCCTAACACATTCTTTCAAGAGAGAGGGGATGCTTGGCTCAGTGCAGAATTAATTCATCTTCTAAATGGAAATGTCAGAGACTGGCAAACATTCCTGCTAATGATTCTGGTGATGAGATATTCATGGGCCGCAGTCAGCCACATGGAAATGGATTTTGCTGATGAAGCTGGGGGCTGTACGCTCAAGGGAAAAAAGCCTGATCACCTAATCTCACTTCTGTAGCAATTTCATGAGGGCCTGCTAAAAAGGAGATTTTTTTCCCCTTGTTTTATTAATTCTGAATGAGGGAAAATGATTCAGCCCAAGCACCCGAGGGAAGGGGTGCGGGATGGAGGGTGGTGCTGGCTTCAGGAGAGGGTTTCCAAGAAAAAGGGAGTCGGCACTAGTAGTCACATCAGTCAGAAGGGAAACCAGTAAGAGTCAAGTAGGAGGGATGAGGGGTACAGAATGCCCCAGCAAAGGGGGAGCCACCCGAAGGCTCCCTCCCATCATCGCTGGTGGTGTACCAGCTGCCTCAGCCATGTGAGCCGACAACTCAGCTCTCAGTGCTCCTGGGCTGTCTCCTGCCCCTGCCACCCCAGAGACTGAACTTTACCATCACACCTCTGACCAACACCCCTCTCTTGCCTGAGGTTCCTTCATACCCCCTTAGAGCTAGGGGTTCTGCCAGACCTCGCAGAGCAGAGCCATCGCTGGAGTGGCCGCAGAGCACCGGGCTCACAATCAGCAGTGTTATTTGAGCTGTAGGTACAGGGCCTCAAGCTCACGAGGACAGAAACTACTAAAATTTTTTTTGCATTAAGCCCCATTTTCTTTACATTGATTTCAGAAGCATAAAGGGAAGGTAATGTTTCTACATCATTATTATTTTTAAAACTTTTTATTTTGAAATAATTATAAACTCATAGTGAGTCATACATAGCCGGGTGAACATTTCTTTCGCGTCCCCTAGTGGGAAATCGTATGTAATGTACGATCCTGTTAAGACCAGGGAATTGACTGTGGTACAATGTGATAATCCAGATAGAAACGTACTTTGTTTCCACCAGTTTTGTGTGTGTGAGCACATGCGCTCCTGTAGTTTTATGCCATTTAGTCCCATGTGTAGATTCACATAAGCACCATCACAATCAAGATTCCAACTGTGCATCACAAAGAAACCCCTTTTTGCTACCTCTTCATAGTGATAGCTCCCCTCTGTCCTGATCCTCTGGTAATCTATTCACTAGAAGTTCTGTCAATTCAAGAATATTATAGAATAGTAAATTTTCAAGATTGACTTTTTTCACTACCTAATGCATATCCTTGAGTTTCCAAGTTTGCATGTTCATCCCTTTTTATTAAGTAATGTTTCATTTTATGAGTTCTATTTTATTTTTTAGCTATCAAAATTTCACTTTGTGGACTACCTATTATAAAATTTAGGCAGTGGATAGGTGATTTCAACAGATGACCAATCCAAGATTCTTCAGAATATTTACTTTTCATGTTTCATGTATAGTAATGTAGTCAGAATTACCTAATTTTAAGGGAACCTGTCATTGCTATATACCAATTCTAACCTATGCACAGCTTGTCTTTACAAACCTAGATATATGCTTCATAGGAGCCGGGGCTGAGACTTTCCCATTATTTGGCTCCTGTGCAGCCCTGCAGGGCTCCTTGCAGGAGGCAAGTTTGTAACGTGTCAGGTGAATGGACGACTTCTCTGGATCCTAGTCCACGCAAACTCCCCAGTATTCCAACTGGCTACCATTTTGAAGGTGTTGGCATGACAAGTCATTTTATTGTAGAAACTGCAGACTGAAATCTTTAGAACCATCTGCCTTATCTGGACATCTGATTTACAGTAATTGAAATTGAGTTCTGCAGTTAACATGGTAAGAGAATGTCAGCTTCTGATTCCCTGATTCCAACAGGTTTTCAAGTCAGTCCAACCAGTAGTGGCTAAATGGGCATCACTGTGCAGAGGTGGGCTCCAGTGTGCCCTGTGACCTTTCCCAGGATGTACTCTGGCTGGTGGCTATGTGAACAAGGATGAAATGGGATGATCAGGTATGAGAACTTTGCTTTTTATTAGAATGTTATTTTTTTCCTCCCTGAAGCTATTTTTTTCCTACTACCCCCTTTGTTTTCAGTTCCTTTAGTGAGATATGGTAAAAGTAAACTGGCAGGAGTTGAAATCTGCCTCTGGAGCCAATTTTGTGTGATCCCACTGAAATGTTTACCCATCCGCATCAGCTACAATGTATATTCGTTGCTGTCAGTGGATGGCTCCATAGGAAAGTCTGTTTTCAGGATATTGTGTTCACATTGCTGAGGAAAAGGAGATGGAAGATCAGAGTCCTGTGGCTGAGCATGGGGCTCGCAGAACCTCTGACTTGCCAAGGTTTGTGTGGGATGGAAAATGAGGACAAAGTGGAGAAAGCCCTTGGCCAATGACAGAAAGAACCTACCATGCTTCTATCTTGGTGAAACAGAAATTGTCCAAAGGTGGCAAAATAAGGGAGCAGCATCTCCCCACGAATTGGTTTAAATTGAACCGTAGAGGACTGAGGACCCATGTGCCTATGGCTAAGGAAAGCAGGAAGAGCAGGCAGCTGCTGGTAGCAGGTGCCTGAGCAGACACGGACCTCTTTTGCTGGCTGAAGGGATGATAGCAGAGTCCCTTCCCCTTGTGATAGTTCCTCCTCTCCCCAAGCTAATCACTTTCTGTAGTTTTTCCTTAATCTGAATTAAATCCTTCCTACCAGAAGTTTTCATTCATCCTGATTAATAGTCACTTAGCTGGGCCTCCCCTGGTGGCGCAGGGGTTGACCCTGGCCGCCAGTGAGGGTCCCACATGGCATGACAGACCTCTCCTGCCACACCTGCTGCTCCCCTCAGTAGTGTATTTCGTCACTCTGCCTGTTCTGTTCCCTGCTCTGGCTCTGGTGGACTCTCTCACCCTCCGGTGCTTCTGACTGTACCCAGTGCTTGTATAAATAAATCTTTAAAAATAAATAAATAAATAAATCTTTAAAAAAAAAAGTCACTTAGCTTTCCCACAGTAGGTATCTTCTAGCGTGCACTGGCCCCAGAGCATGGTGACTGACCACAGGGACTCTGGAGGCACGAGGACCTGGCTTCAAATCTGGGCTTGGCCACTTAGTTTCCTCATCTGTTACTTTTTTTTTTTTTTTTTTTAAGATTTATTTTTATAAATAAATAAGAGCTGGGGTGGAGGCCAGAGGCGCAGGAAGGTGAGAGGATTTACCAGAGACAGAGAGGGGAGCAGAACAGGCAGATGACCAAAATACACTGCTGAGGGGAGCAGCCAGCACAACAGGAGAAGTCCGCCACACCATGTGGGAGTGTCCCTGGCTGGCCGGGAATCGAACCCGCACTGCAGAGGCTGCGACAGCTTTACAGTGCTGTGCTCAACCCGCTGCGCCACTGGGGAGGCCCTACTTTTTTTTTTTAATGAAGAATTAGATCAAGAATATTCCATACATTCCTGTTTTGCCAACATGGAAATGGTGGGGCTTTTATTACCTTACTCATCTTTGATATATATCTTCACACGTACTTACTTGTCAGGTCTAGCCAGAGTAGCTGATGGGCACCAGAACAGATTCACTAAACAATGCAGCTTTTTTTTTCCTGTTTGAATATAATTTTTTTTCTTTTATATATTTTTTACATCATTTTTCATTTTTGTACAATGTATGGATTATTATCTTGGTTATAGTCCCCATACAAGTCCTACCCCCCTTGTTTTGATCCTACTCCCTCCTCCCCACCATAGTGTCTGGTTTATAGTTGCTTGTTGATTTTGCTTTTTACTTTATTATAGTTAGTCTTTCTCCTGGTCCCTTATTTAAGTTTTCTAGATTCCTGCTATGAGTGAGACCATCCGGTATTTTTCTTTTTCTTTTTGGCTTATTTCGCTGAGCATGATCCCTTCCAGCGCCATCCATGTTGCTGCAAATTGCATGAGTTTATCTTTTTTGATTACAATGGGGCTCTTAATGAAAAAGCTCCACAAAAGGAACTTGTTTAGGGGTATAATGGAGCTAGTAGGATTTAGGATCATTGAAAGGCTTGAATGAATTAAGCACTTAAGTGTTTTATTAAGTGAAGCATTCAGTTACGGGTCTGTGCCATATTTTAACCACTGAACATTTAGGTTTTACTATTGCCCATTTCAGGTTTTGTCCTTTGAAATATAGAAGTGGTACTCTTAAGTTCTGCCAGATGTTTGGTAAATTAAAAAAAAAAAAAAGTATTCAGTAAACTATGGTTTCCTGAGGACATCACTGATGAATACAGAAATGAAATAGGCTAACACTTTCAGGGACAATGAGACTTTCCTTCATTTTCCTACTAGGGCTTCTTTTTATTCCCTTGGTTGGGAAGTTTTGTCTTCTTTATCAGTGTTAGAGGATCTATTTTTTTCATTATTAAAAGTTTATTTTTTATTAATTTTTTAATTTACATCACTGTTCTTTCTTTTTTTTTTTTAGAGATTTATTTATTTTATACAAGCCACTGGGTATAGTCAGAGGCGCGGGAGGGTGAGAGAATTCACCAGAGCGGGGAGCAGAACAGGCAGAGTGACGAGGTACACTGCTGAGGGGAGCAGTGGGGCTACAGGAGAGGTCTGCGCGCCATGTGGGACCCTCGCCTGGTGGCTGGGGATCGAACTGATGCTGCAGAGGCTGCGGGCAGCTTTGCAAGCCAGCGCTCAACCGCTGCGCCACCGGGGAGGCCCTCACTGTTCATTTTTAAACAATATTTGCTTCCCCCCACCCCCTCAGGTGTAGTCCCCATAGTTTCCTTCCCCAAGGCACCTGTGCACCATCATCTCAGTCCCCTGTGCTCCTCCCTCCCTCCCTCTGATCCCTCTCCCTCCTCCTCGCCCCCCTGCAGGATGTTTCTGATTTCTAATTGTCCGTTTTGCTTTGTTGTGTTTTGTACTGTTATTAGTTTGGGGGATCTATTAATGAGGGTAGAGCAAAACTTCAGGTTTCAAGATTAATGGATTAGCTCTAAAAGGTATGTAATATTACTTGTGCCCCAGTAAAATCAGGAGCTGCCCCCTTACAAAAGGGGTCACATTTAATTTTTTTTTTGAGAAATGCCTGGAGACCTTTTTGTGGGCCTTAAAGATTCCAGCCCTGGGCATTTTAGACAAAGGCTTCTTTGGCAGAGCTTGATTTCTGTGAAGGTCACATAGACGTGCAGTGACCTCACTCCACTGACACCGACACGAGCTGTCCTGTTTCCCTTCCATCCTTTCAAACTCTCTCAGTCTTTACCCTGTCCTTTCCTTCCTGTTTCTAAAGAAATGTCTTTCTCATGTACATGGAAGAAGTGCAAGCTTTTAAGTTATAAAACATGGAATTCTGACATAACCATTACTTAGGTAAATGAACACAGGTAGTGACTCTATCTCCCCAACATCTCCTTGCTTAGGGGACCATTCCTTACACGGCTAAAGGAGTCGGGCTGCACAGGTGCTGTGGTAGCTCTTCTGACAGATCTGCCTGACAGCCTGTTTTCTTTGTTCTAAAAACGTGTTTTTGTTCTTACACTTTAGTTTTTAGCTGGAAACCTAATTTATTCTAGAAGTTACGCCAATACCTCAATGTGTCCAAAATCGAATTCTTCACTATTTCCCCCTGAAAAAGTTCCTTTTGTAGAGCTTTTTCATTAAGAAAAATCACATTACTTAGTTTGTGTGTTCTGGTGCCATCAGCCGCTCTGTCTAGAACTGGTGGAGGACCTCCTCCCCCAGGACAGCCTCTCCCAGGTAAGTACACGTGAGTGGCTGAGACCTATGTATATTCAGTCACCAAAGAGGATTAATAATGAAAGCTCATCATTTCCATGGTTGCAAAACTGGAGAATATAGAATGGAATATTCTTGATCTTAATTCATAAAGAAAAATTTGCACCAACCAGTTCAGAGTTGTGCACATAAGATGTGTGTCACTGAGCAACATGGAAAAGGTGGAGAAACCGGGAAGGTAGTGTGCCACTGAACGCAAGAACTTTATCGGAACTAACATTAGGGAGCAGTGACAGGCAGTGGAGTTGGGTCAGGCAGGTAACCAGGATCACCAAGTGTTAAAATACTAGAGAAAATAGAGACATGGAATAAATTAAAATGAAGCTCTGCCCTTATTAAATGGAAGCATTAATCAGAAGTAATTTCCTCTAAGGATATGAATTTGTTACTCAGAATGGTAACTACAGTAACAACAATCGATTAAAAATGCCCTTGTGATTTCTGTCCTTGATGATGGAAACTAGTAGTATAATGAAGAAAGAATCACAACACAGAGACCAGTGAGACATTTTGATTATTTTTAATCTTCAATATTTTCTGCCAAGAGACAGGAATGCATAAAAGAAATGGCTCAACATCTTCACATGAAACACTTGGATTCATTTTCATTCACAAGTTTTTCTAAAAACATCTACAAATTTATATTCCCACCCACTTTCAACCATTATCACAGATTTAATTGACCATTAAACAGTAGTTGCCAGCAAGAGAGAGCTGGAACGCTTTCTGCGTATTAGTAGTGTCTTTGGAAACTACCACCCAAGAGTATCACGATAAAAAAATCTCACTGTATACAGCAACCCCCAAGGTAACTGATGTCCCCAAGTAAACTCCCTGCTTATAATGGAGAGCTGTATTTCCCAGGTACTTAAGGAAATGCTCTTTATTCTCCTAGAACTTCTTGTTCATCTCATAGTATTTTTCTTCACAGGAACAGCACATGCTGACCTGATAATTTAATCATGGTTGCTAATAGGCAAATATATGTGCCTGACACTCATGCTCTCCACTAACTATGTACAGAACATATTGAAAAAAAGATGGGTTGCTTGGAATCTATCTCTCTTCTCTTGAAGAGAACTACATTGAGGTTTTTTTTTTTTAAACAGTTGTAAACAAAAAGAAAGATATACACGAACATATATCTATACACGTAGAGATATACACTGAGTATTTTCAATGTGGCGTATGTCTTACATAGATACACACAAACACAGGACGTCCACACTCATTGCTTCACACGCACCCCCACCCTTACATACAGTATGTGAATATAAACATGTTCTTGGGAGTTCACTGGAGTTTGTAAATTACCAAATGATGATGAAATACCTGATTTGTATTACTCCTGAGAAGATACTAGAAGGGAATGACAGTTCTGATGCACTTTGGAATGGCACAATCACGTAAACACTTGCATACTTAAGACTTCTGAACTCATCCAAAGTTTCTAAACATAATCCAACCAAAGAAAAAAATATCAAAACAATGCAGCAAGTTAAAAAATAAATTCAAAACAAAGTTTTTTTTTTATAATCAAAGTATAAACAAGTATAGGAAATGCATATTTGTCAGTAATTATTTTATAGTAGGAAATACATAAGAAAAAACAGTTGTTTGACAAAACTTTTTAAAAAAAAACTATCCAATGCATAATAACACATGCATTACCAAAACAGCAGAGGATAGCCACATTAGAATTGCAAGGCTTATAACAACTCTACCAGCAAAAAAGTACTGTATGTAGCAAGTCTGTTAAGTATGCAATTTATAAAAAATTACTGTGACTGTTATTCACACTTTATAAAAAAGAATTTGCAATTTGTTGAGTATCTTATCCCTCAATATAATTAATCTGTATAAAAATTACAACTAAACCAATAAATTTCAAGCACCAGTTCTATCATTTAAACTTACTGTATTTATATTTCTCTTATCAAAGGGACAAATTAGAAGGCTAAGCTAAAATTAGCCAAGTGATTCTTACAGTTTAGTTTTATAGGCATGTGGTTTTTTTTTTCTTCCATTCACTTGAATACCAAACATTTGAAAATGTTTAGGCCAGTAAAGGAATCCTTGGAGGAATCAATTATTTCTGAGTATCAGTGATTTAATATACATTAAAAGCTCTTTAACAAACCATTGCGTTCTTAGATGAAATGAAGGAACTGTTCCTCATTATGACTTAAGAAAGGCAGCACCGATATAGTAGACTAACAAGCACATCTGGACATCTACTGGTAGTGTAAGAAAACGGCATTTTATTCAAGAAGGCAACACCATTGTGGTTGGCAATACTGAAATTTTTCTTAATTAAAAAATTTCCACCAGATACTTGGGGTGAAAGGATATCTCAGTAAGAGAATTTTTTCCCCCTGATTTCTTTTTACTGCATCAGGGAAAAAAAATGTAGCACAGTCTGAGCCAGTAGATGAGTAACAGTGTTTGTGATGCCTCTGGTTGTTCCTGAAGAAAACATGTTCAGATAACAAGGGGTCTATTTTAAATCAATACAACTGCTGTTTTTGTTTCCAGTATTTACATTATACCACTTACATATACAGTAATTTCTGAGACATAATTAATGTTTGTTTTTTCCTACTGTTAAGTTTGGTTAATTTTCAGCTCACACCAAACTGAACCTTTAGGTTGGCTGCATGGAGACTGCAGATAAGCCTGTTGAAGACAACAGATCACATGGAAACCAAAATGTCAATCAATGTTGATCCTCCATCACTTCCCGGCCTGTTATCTGAACGCTGTCCTAAGATCACCTGCAGATGAAGGATAAAGACAGCTGCACTGAAGTCCTGGAGTTAGGATAGGTGTGAAGGTTCTTGCTCATCTTCAGTAAGAGCTGCTTCATTCTGCTCCTCGCTCACTTCATTGGCTCGTTCTTCATAAATAGGCTCACCGAGGTCTTCACTGCCTCCTTCACTTTGCTCTTCGCTGTGTTCTTCGCTGGGTTCCACAGTCTGTTCCAGGCTATTTTCCAGAAGTGTGGGAGAATTGCTTATTCTACTTTCTTCTTCAACTGTCTCATTTAAGGACTGGGAAGGAGGTGGTGTGGGAGTATCAGATTGCATGACACTTTCAGTGGAAGAGATGGGGACTTTGGTTAGAGTAGTATCTGCTACCACCTCATTTTGAGGCAAAGATAACTTCTCCACAAGTTTCCACTGAATGATGCTCATGTCTTTTCCACCGGTTGAAATCAGGTGACTGTCATTATGAGTAAAGCTGACATTGGTGACGTGGCTGCTGTGGGCACTGTATTTGTGACTGGGAGCCTATCGCAAATAAATCAGATAGGAAAATTAAACTTTACATGCCAGCTTACAGCAATGGAGGTGACCAGGTAAGGCAGGTAAATCAGCATATGAAACAGGTAATTCAAATCAAAGCCAAAGTCATCAAATCTGAGGAATTAAGCTAGTAGCAATTTCCTTTTAATGTCTATTGTTGGGAGAAACAAAACAAGAGTAATTGGATTCTTATACTTTTTTAGACTATGTTTAAAAAACAACTAAAAGTTGTTTTTCTGTCTTCTGTTTTGTATACTTGTCAGAACCTAGCAGCTTCTATTGAAATGACAGAGAGAGAACTTACTAGGTTGGCAGGATTATAGAGGATTTAGAAAAAAGTTCCCTGAGTTTTATAATGCTGGTCATATTTTAGTATGTTTTGTATGTTTATATTTTAAAGTTTATGAGAAATTTAAAATTGCCCAAAAAAATCAAAATAAAAAAACCGAACAATATGAATACAGTAACTGCCCTCTATATTTTTCCCTTAGGCTGAAAGAGGAAGGAAAAGACAGGTGTGATTCCTGCTGGGATGCTAAGAGAGGGTCCGAGAGGGTCCTGTGCTGCTTCTGCACATTCTAGTACCATTCCCGAGCTGTCCTGTACCATGGACAGCTAATTAGTAACTGTAAATATTTTTTCACCAGTGGGCCTCCCCGGTGGTGCAGCGGTTGAGCGCTGGGCTGTGAAGCTGCCTGCAGCCTCTGCAGCGCCGGTTCGATCCCCGGCTGCTCCCCGGCCACCGGAGGAGGGTCCCACCTGGCGCACAGACCTCTCCTGCTGCCCGCTGCTCCCCTCAGCAGTGTACTTCGGTCCTTCTGCCTGCTCTGCTCCCCACTCTGGCTCTGGTGAATTCTCTCACCCTCCCGTGCTTCTGACTGTACCCAGTGCTTGTATAAAGAAATTTAAAAAATATATATATTTAATTAATATATATATTTTCACCATTGACAAAATTATCTGCAAACAAAAGAGGTTTTATTAAAATGTCTATTAAATTGATTTTACCTTTGCTTTGGAGCAGGGATACTGAAACAAATGAACTTTGCAAAAGTCATCAGCAACAGCTATCACCTTTCTATTGTGGGATCGCACCAGTGCGTTGATGTCAGTGCCGTCGGATCCTTCTGGCCATACACCTTTGTTATGGAAAATAAGGGTGCAGAAAAATCAGGCTGAAAAAACATAACTGTGATGCTACATTGTGTTTTATTTGATTTTAGAATCTTATTTTCATCTGTGTTCAAACTCTTAGCTTGTTTCCTTTGCAAATGTCTTAGTGGGTCAACACTTCATTCACTCAAGTGGCGTTTTATACAAAATCTAACAATAATAAAATTAAACTGCAAGAACTTCAAGATAGAAAATTTAGACTCAAAAGTACTCAATAGTCTCCAGCAGGTGGTGCTAATAAATTGAGTTTTAGCTTGACTCACATTAACATTAAAGGAGACTTCCCATTAACATTCTTTCTTACTGGGGCCTCCCTGGCGGCACAAGGGGTTGAGATGCAACCTATGAAGCAATCCTCAGCCACTGCAGCACGAGTTCGATTCCCAGCCAGCGAGGTGACCCATATGGCATAGCAGACCTCTCCTGATTCGCCCGCTGCTCCCCTCAGCAATGTATTTCAGTAGATCTGCTTGTTCTGTTTCCCATGCTCTCTCTGGTGAATCCTTTCACCCTCCCACACATCTGGCCTGTACCCCAGTTCTTGTATGCATAAATAAATCTTTTTTTTTTTTTTTAAGATTTTTATTTATTTATTTATTTATACAAGCACTGGGTACAGTCAGAAGCGCGGGAGGGTGAGAGAATTCACCAGAGCCAGACCGGGGAGCAGAACAGGCAGAAGGACCGAAGTACACTCCTGAGGGGAGCAGCGGGCAGCAGGAGAGGTCTGCGCGCCATGTGGGACCCTCCTCCGGTGGCCGGGGAGCAGCCGGGGATCGAACCGGTGCTGCAGAGGCCGCGGGCAGCTTCGCAACCCAGCGCTCAACCGCTGCGCCACCGGGGAGGCCCTGCATAAATAAATCTTAAAAAATTCTTTCTTACTGGAAATGTATAAGGCCATCCACTATTCTACCATGCTTTCTTACTGACTTTTTCTACGACTATCATTTATGCCCCAAAATATAAGACATAGCAAAATTAATTATTCTGAGTCATTAAAAGTCACTGAAGATCATGCGCAACATAATTAGCACAAACCTTTATTAGACTAGATTAAAATTATAGAATAAAGGGGTCGAGATGCTCACCTTCTATGGCTCAGTTCTACTCAAAAGAACAATGTTCTCGGTAAATTTGCTAAAACAAGTTAAAACATTTCTTAACTGATATCTCTTAATACATAAATACTAGTACATTAAAATAACTAGGTAAGTTAAACAGTTATTGGCCATTCAGTTTCTCTGAAGAGCCTCTGCTTCAGTTTTACCCAGAGTAATGATTGGGGACGGTCATTCTGTTTCGCATTTCTTCCTAGCCAAGTATTTTTCTCCATCTCTACAGTGTTGTTTACAGTAAGTACATATTATAGATTATTTTTCTAACATACACAGCATAAAGGAATGTTCACATCTATAATTAGGCTGGAGGAGAAAGTCCCACTTTCAGACAGCAGAGGTACATTATTAAAACAACTGTATTAGGGCCTCTCTGGTGGAGCAAGGGGTTGTCTCAGTACTACGAAGCTATCTGCAGCCACTGCAGCCTGAGTTCAATCCCCGGCCAGGGAGCTACCCACATGGCGCAGCAGACCTCTCCTGTCTTGCCCACTGCTCCCCTCAGCAGTGTATTTCAGTAGATGCGCCTGTTCTGCTCCCCACTCTGTTTCTGGTGAGTCCTCTCACCCCCGACACCTCTGGCCTGCACCCCAGTTCTTGTATGCATGCATAAATAAATCTTTTTAAAAAAACCCAACAGTATTAATATTTTGGGTATTGCTTTGGTGCCATAGCCACATCCAATATTGTAATCACTGAGTAGAACATCTTTTTAATTTTTTACATGTAAGACTTTACTATTTTAACTGTTACATTTATCTTGTGACCTTTTCAGAAGGATATAATACAGATTGGGAAACTCACAGAGGAGACAGTTCTAGATTTTCGATTAGGAATGGTTCCCAACTTTTAAGTAATATCTACTAAAAATGCCTTTATATTTCAACAAATGGGGCTTGGACAACAGGATATCCACATGTAAAACAGTACGAGCGGACAAGTGTTGACAAAGATGTGGGGAAACTGAACACTCATACACTACTTGAATAAAAGTGGTACTGCCACTTTGGAAAACAATATGGAAGTTCCTCAAAAGAATAAACGAGCTACCATTTGACCCTGTAATTCCATTCTAAGTATATATACCTAAGAGAAATGAAAATATGTCTATAGTAAAACATGTACTCGAGTGTTCATAGCAGCATTACTTATAATAGCTTAAAAGTTGGAAAGAATCCAAGGTCTATCAACAGATGAGTGGGTAAATAAAATGTGGTATGTGTTTATGTGTGTTTGTGTGTGTGTGTGTATTTTTTCACACAATGGGGAGTGTTTCAGGGGAAAAAAATGGAAGTATCAATAGATGCCATAGTAAGGATGAACCTTGAAAACATGCTAAGTGAAGAAGCCAGTCACATATTGTATGATCACATATTATATGAGTCTATTTATATGAACTATCTAGAATAGTCAAATCATTAGAGAAACTAGATTAGCAAATGATGTGGAATGGGGAATGGCGGCTAATGGGTAGAGGGTTTCTTTTGGGGTAATAAAAATGTTCTAAAACTGAATAGCAATGATGGTTGCACAACTATGAATATACTAAAGCCACAGAACTACAGGCAAGTAGGTAAATTATATGGTCTATGAATGTTATCTGACTAAAGTTGCTATTTTAAAAATACCTTTACAAATTTAAAAACTTATGTTTTCACTTGGAGGGAAAATATGGGAAGAGTTTGGACTAATCTGTAAATTCCTTTCCTTAAATTGTTTTTCATAGATATTGAAGACCAAAAGTTTGTTAGATTCTACAGAGATCAAATCTTGTATTAGTTCAATCTTTAAGGCATTTAATTTCCCGGAATCTGGCATTAATAGTGATGACACTAAACAACACAGATGATTTTTCATTTAGCAATTTAAACAAGTAAATATATATATAAGGACCCCCAAAACTATCTTTCCCCATGAGGTATCATGTACTTACCGAAGACCTGAAAGCCTAGTACACAGGTATATGTTGTCCAATCGATGTCCTTACACTCTGATCGATTCCTGATTAGTTTGCAGCCACTTGGAATGTTCCCTTTAAATTTAGAAACAGGAAGTATAATCATAGTGCTTGTGTACAAATGTATTTGAAAGTGCATCTTGATTCAAACTAGCCACGTTTACTTGTATTTATAATCCATACACTGAAAAACATCAAGACACATTTAAAAAGGAAAAGAAAATGTTTACTTTAACAGGGTGTATAGAACTACAAATTGTTTCCCATTGAAGTTTTTTCCTTAAAAAGCATAAATGCCCGTCCAGTATACTGCTTTCTGCCTCCAGGAAAAATTGCTAAATACAAAAGCATTCACAGCAACATCAATCTCACCGAGTAATTTACATGTCCACACACTTAAATGAATTCATTACTTTCTTGGAGAACTGAACCACATTTGAGATTCTTGTTGCTTTGACAGCTCAGAGTAACACATGGTCTGCCAAGCTAGAGAGGCCAGCATGCATTCTCCCACAATTTAAACTGCATAGTCTGCTCATTATTGCCCTGACAGACATGTCCAGACCCTAAGTTATCACTCATACTTACAGTACAATATCTCATAGTCTCCTGAGTTAGACATTATATACGTGTTGTCTGGAGACCAGTCAAGGTGTGTGATATAACTGGAATGTCCCTAGGAAATAAGAGTTCAGATGTTAGAGAGCATTTAGAGTTCTGAATGGATAATAGTTTAATAGCCAGTACTGTTTTTTTCAGTTTTCATTCATCTGGAATTCCTAAAGTGTAGACAGCAATATCAATACCTCTAGAACTGAACAGGGCCATGGAAATCTTAAGTTTTTTTAAAAAATCTTTTGTTGGGAACCAAAGATGAAGTTTTATGAAGCTATCAGTGACAGCTTAAGAGTTCTGGCAGACGTTGGATCTAATGGAACTCAGCAGAGTGGAAACATTAAGCACTTGGAACTTGGGAGTATCCTACTGGCCTTTTTATCCAGATATCAACAACAAGCACTTAATACCCATGCTAGAGCAGTCCAAGAAAGATAGTCTGTGTCCTAGTGGCCACGTCAAAAGCCACCTCGCCCTCCGGTCTATTTCAAGTCACTGGCGTCCCTATTGGAGTGGTTCCATTTTTGAGAATGAAGCATTGATTCTAGTCTTTTTTTCTGGCCTGCTCTTTGAATATCCATGGTGCACCCCAGAGACTGAGGAACATCTATAAATACACTGTTATATGGAGTTCTCCCAGAAACCTATCTCCAAAGAAGGTTCCAGGGGAAAAGTCACCCAAACTGCATTTCTTCAGAACAACTGGACCCAATATAATCTAAAGTAGTGCTGTCCTGAACTTTCTGTAGTGATGAAAATGTCTGTTTGCAGTCCAACGTAGCAGGAACTAGCCATCTCTGGCTTCTGAGTAGTTGACATGTGGCACTTTGTGCTCCCAGGAAACAAATTTATTTAACTTCATAAACAAGACATTGTGGCTAGTAGCTGCCATGTTGGATAACATAGGAAGACAAGAGTCCATCTTTTTCTCTACCATCTGACATACCTCTTATCGACTGGTAAATTCCTATATAAACAGATCTGTTTCTGGACACTCATTTCTGTTTCATTAGTCTGTCTATCCCCAGCCAACTGTGATAGTTCTGTGATGTGTGGAAAATTTCAGACTACATCAAATTTAGAGAATAAAGTAGAGAGAAGAGATATTCTTGTCAAATCTTTTCATCCAGAAACATGTCTCTATTTTTCCAGTTTATGTCTATCGGCAATGCATCCCCAAAGCTGCTGTGCTTTTCTTGCTAGGTTTATTCTCAAAGCATTTATAGCTTTTACTGCTATTGCAAATAGAACCCCTCACCCTCATCACATTTTGATGTTTTTGCTGGTTTGAGGGAAAGCTGATCTTTAGTAACTGCAGAATGGACTACTCTTGCCTATCCAATCCACATCCTCCCCTTTTGTTAAGTACTCAGCTAAAATACTGTATTTCCTAACCTCTTTTGCATCTAGGTGTGGCAAAAGTCATAAGTGGGACTTCCAAGAATAAGAGAATTGACTTTAAGGAAGAATGCTACCTCTCCCCCCCCCGCCGCCCACCTTGCTCTTATACATTCTTCCTGGAACTAGGATGTGATACTGGTGTTTTAGCAGCATCTTACTGAAAATGATGGAATAGAAAAAAAGAAGGATCCTGAGTCACCATCTCTCTCATTTGTTTAAGTCACCAGGCACTGCAGTATAATTCCTTTTATAGTAATACTGAATCCTATTGCTTGTTGTATTGGCTTTATGGTTTTTTTTGGAGATTTCTGGGTAGACAGTTAAAAAGTTTTTTCCTCTTCTTTTTGATGTGTATCTTCAAAAACCACGTTTTCTCACACTTCTTACCTATCCTAATATACTTTTAATGCTTTTAGTATATCACTGCAACTTAAATATATTTCCTGGGCTAAGATCTTGCATAGCAATGTCAAAAGGTACACAATAATGTGAATCAAACAGAAAGGCTTATTGCCATTCAGGTACAAAACAGAAAGGCTTATTGGCAGTCAAGTACAGAATAACAATTGTGATCCCATTACAAATAGAACACTTAAAATCTTTCAAGGAAAATATACAATGTCCATAATTAGAAAAATGTTTTTGAATTTTAACAGACATATGTTAAATGCTGGAAAACACTCCTAGGTACAATCCAGTTACTGAAAATAATGCTGGTGCTGCTGCTAATAAAACCTGACTTTTACTGAGTACTTTCTATGTATAGGGCATTATATTTAAGTACTTTATATATAGTATCCCCACCTTTAATCTCAAAGCAATCTTAATGAGGATGTCTACTTAGAAGGTCAAGACATTCAGGAGGCAAAGAGAGGTTACCTTTCCTGAAGTCACATAACAAAGAATTGATGGAGCAAGAGTTCTAACCTAGGTCAGATAAATCTGGATCAAACTGAGTACACCAAAGATGGGCAGAAAAAAATTTTAAAGTGGACTTTTAAGTAAAGGAATTGATAAGTAATCATGGACCTTTTCTGTTTATTTTCAAATTAGTACATGAAAAGCTGAGATTAAGAAACATATTGTACTTAAGGAACAAAACTACGAAACTTGACAATACTCAAAACTCACATCGAGTGATCTTTGAAATAACTAGTGCCCACCTAGTACCTAGGACAGAGGAACCATCTAAGATCAGCTTCAGCAGTAGCTATTGGCATACTGTTGGTGTAGGCACCAAGCTTGTCACCTTCAGATTATACTTTGGTTTCCCATGTACTATTTGGCCTAAAAGGAAGTGCTGACTGGAGGCAGCTCATGTTCTGTCCTCTGGTATTTACATATCTTACTTTAAATGAATAAACTAGAATTCTTATTATGAGTTGGCTTCCTGAGGCTTGGAGACAGAAAACTTAGTTGCTCTGAGGGAAGTAGGATCCAGTCCCTTACCAGTTACAGCTCTTGTTCTCAACTGATACCTTATAAACCAGCTTTGGAGAATTTGGATGATACAAGTTGTTTGTATCTTGTCTTGTTTCTTAGTTTATAAGGTTGAGAGCAAGATCTTGGCCTATAATGACTTTATGAAGCACATCACTGATTAGGAACTCAAGCATTAGCCAGCGACCCTCTACCAAGAAGTTCCCTTTAGTTTTTTTAGAAGTCATCTTCTAAACTGACATTGCCACATAAAGTGATGCCGTGAAGAGGGGCAGGCTGCTTTCTTCCAGTATATTAGAGGGACATTTCATAAAATTCTAAGCCCAATATGCTTCTGCAGCTACAGTGTTACTTAAATGTTGACTAGGTCAACAGGAAAAAATTGGTACTAAAATAGTAAATAGCGACATTTTATTTATTTATTTTTAAAGAGGCATGTATTTTTATTTATTTGCTTGTTTGTTTGTTTATTTATACATGCACTGGGTACAGTCAGAAGCGCGGGAGGGTGAGAGAATTCACCAGAGCCAGAGCGGGGAGCAGAGCTGGCAGAAGGACCGAAGTACACTGCTGAGGGGAGCAGCGGGCGGCAGGAGAGGTTGGTGCACCATGTGGGACCCTCCTTCAGTAGCCGGGGAGCAGCCGGGGATCGAACCGGCGCGGCAGAGGCCGCGGGCAGCTTCGCAACCCTGCGCTTAACCGCTGCGCCACCGGGGAGGCCCAATAGCGACATTTTAATAAGGATTCAATCTTCACAATAATCCTATAAAGTGGGAACTATTAGTCTCCAACTTTAAGATAAAGACGCAGAGAAGTTCATTAACTTGCCTAAAGTCACAAACTAGTAAGTAGCAGAGCCAGCTTTAGCCCACTTTTGTCTGTCCTGTATCATAGCAGAGAACAAATAAAAACAGTTAATATGAGATTGTAAGATTGGCTAGTGGAAGCAGACAACAAGGAGAGTACAGCTGGAGGCAAAGCACAAAATAGAAAATAATTAGAAGAACAGAATGGTTGAGCCTCTCATTATAGCCTCACACAGTACTATGCTCTGTCACAGTGTCTAAGGACTACCAAAATAATACTTTCAAATGCTCTAAAGAAAAAAGCTGTTTAACGAGAAGGCTAGTCTAATTTGATTGATAAACCTGACATTTCTCAACACTTCCAAGGTCATACCATGTTACACACTTCAGTTTCCTTTCAGGACCAGTTGTGTTGTAAGAGCGCAGGATAATAATATACATATAGAAAATATGAGGCATTATACAATGCAAAGTTTGCATTGTATAATGGTTCAGCTCCCACTTCTCTGAAACACCATAAAAGCATCCATAAAATGAGGGTTGAGCTAAGTGCTACCTGTAAAATTGTACAATTACATAGGGTTAAATAATATTTGATATACTATTTATTAAGACATGAATCTTTTTTAAAAGGCTGCGGTAAATATAAGAAAAAATTGTTGCCTAGTGGTAAACTTCAGTAATATGAAAATTTCTTTCAGTGGAACATTTTATTTGATCATGTTACACAATGAGATACTACTGCACTATTTCATATCATCACAAATATTAAGAAAAATCACCTAAAAGATGGATGAATTTAAATAAACTGATGGATAAGATTCGTAACGGTAGCCACGGCAAACAAAAATAACTATGAGGTTGCTTACAGACTAGTTTATAGGCTGGTTTTAGCACATGGTTCAAAATATGCAAAAAACCTCCCAAACAAGCCAAAAAAACCAAACCAGAAAGGCAAATAAGTATCTTCTTGAAATAAATGACCTGTGTTTTATTTGTTTTTAATGTCTTACTAATATGTTTACTTATTCTCTTAAAAATCATTTTGTGATAAAGATTTTTGAAGTATTTGTGCCAATAATTCATTACAATTTGCTAATTCTGAATTGACTTCCTAACATACATACATACATACATACCAAGCTACCACATTTTCTACAAGAGTTTACATAACTACTATGTATTATGTGCCAAACACTATTCTATATAAAATTCTAAGTACTTTGTATGCATTAATTCATTTTAATCCAGTGAAGCAGAAACTATCACTATCCTCACTTCATAGACGAGAACGCTGGCGTATGAGGTTTAAGTAGCTTGCTTGTAAGTGGTGAGGCAAGAATTTAAATCCAGGTAGTCTGATCCTAAGTATGTGTACTTAACCACTAAGCCCGGCTGCCTTTCTCATCCTCTCCTCAAGCTCTAACGTGTATTTTTCCAGGTAAAGGGACAACTTTTTCATGCATTGCTAGTACCTAGAATATTTCTGTAGTTAGCATAATACCTGCTTTAATCTAAGTGGTCAATATGTTTACAGAACCGAATTTAATCTTCACCTTACAATAATAAATCTAATCGCTCAATCAGAAATGGGCAACAAATTAAAGGAAATATGTTTCTGTTAATTTTCATAATGCAGACAAATCTCCATATAAATTATTTTACTTTTAGTGGCAGAGAGGTGATAAAGGAAATTGTTGGGTGTTGGAGATGACCAGGAACATGGGATAACAGATTAAAAGTGAGAGAGCGGGGCCTCCCTGGTGGCACAAGGGGTTAAGACGCAACCTATAAAGGGCCTCCCCGGTGGCCCGCAGCCTCTGCAGTGCCAGTTCAATCCCTGGCTGCAGGTGAGGGTCCCACATGGCGCGACAGACCTCTCCTGCCACGCCCACTGCTCCCCTCAGCAGCGTACTTCGGTCTTTCTGCCTGTTCTGCTCCCCGCTCTGGTGAATTCTCTCACCCTCCGGCGCTTCTGACTGTACCCAGTGCTTATATAAATAAATAAATCTTAAAAAAAAAAAAAAAAAAAAGAAGCAGCAAACTAGGAAGCTGTCTGCAGCCTCTGTAGCACGAGTTCGATCCTGGGCTGGCCAGGGAGCAACCCATATGGCACAGCAGACCTCTCCTGACTCGCCCACTGCTCCCCTCAGCAGTATATTCCAGTCAGTCTGCCTGTCTGTTCCCCACTCTGTCTCTGGTGAATCCTCTCACCCCCCAGACCTCTGGCTTGTACCCCAGCTCTTGTATGCATAAATAAATCTTCAAAAAAAAAAAAAAGTGAGTAGACTCTCATGTCTGATCTTACTCCATTTTCTTTTTTTTCTTTTAGATTTTTAAAAAAGATTTATTTATACATACACAAACTGGGGTACAGGCCAGAGGTGGGGGGGGGGGATGTGTGAGAGGATTCACCAGAGACAGAGTGGGAAACAGAACAGGCAGACTGACTGGAATATACTGCTGAGGGGAGCAGTGGGCAAGTCAGGAGAGGTCTGCTGTGCCACGTGGGTAGCTCCCTGACCGGGGATCAAATTCATGCTGCAGTGGCTGTGGATAGCTTTATAGGTTGTGTCTTAACCCCTGCACCACCAGGGAGGCCCTGACCCTACTCCATTTGCAAAGTGTCAGTCTAAGGGTTTTCTATGGAAATAGCGCTGACTTAAGAAGTCATCTTTAAAATTTGTCAAGAAAGTAGAGAGAGTAATATAAATTTGCATCAAAAGGAGAAACATTTTCAGAGTATACTGTGAATTACAAAATTCTCCTGCTAGGTAATGTCAGTTTTCAAAGGGAGAGATTAAAGTTTAATGCAACTAAGGATAGAAAACAATAGATATGTCAATATCAATTTTAATTCTCTTTTTAACAAAAATTAAACGGTCTGAAAATTATTACAACTATTTTACTTTAATACTTACAGTGCACTTTCCATATCTGTTATATTTTCTTCCATTTTCTGAGACTGCATAGAGGTAAATAAAGTTGTCATGAGATCCAACAGCCAGCAGGGTGCCATCTAGATTGAAACAGGATAGTGTTAAAAGTGTTGACCAGAGAAATATACTGATAGATTTACCAACAGTTATTTTATTGGACCTATGCTAAATGTTTTTTTTATCAGTGTTGTTAAATCTCATCAATTTAACTTAAGTTGATATTTGATGAATCCTTCTATCACAAAGTATACTAGAAAAACTTCTGGTCATCTATATAATCCCTTTCTAGAGATGCTCATGGGCCTTGGACTCTACCCTCATCTCCTTCTAGTTAGTTAAAAATTGAACCCAGGCAAGTTAACCTGCTTTTATGGCTTTAGGGATAGAGTATTCATATGGCAAGCTAAGTGTTCAATTCCTCATTTCAGCTGAGCAATATGATCTCTTCAACTACCGGGAAGGTTCTCTTGGGAAGGAACCACATTCTTTTATGTTCTCCTCCATTGTACTTACTGCATAGCAGATGGTCAATAAAGTACATTTGATCTTTGGATTTTAATTGCTACATCTGTAGGAGTTATTTGCTATTACAACACTCAAAAAAAAAACAAAAACCAAAAACACAAAACCCAAAAACCAAAACTGAAAAATGCTTCTGCTTCAAGTAACTCTTTAGGCTTCTAGCTTGAACAAGTGTTCTCCTCAAGAGAATAGTATGCTTTCCTTTGAAAAAAGTTACAAGTAGTTAAAAAGATTCTTTGGACCCTACACTGATCCACCAATCATGGGAATCTATTTTCAAATATAAGTAATTGTGACTCAGACTAACTCTAGGGAAGAATGATGTGGATCAAAACAATATTAATAATGGGAAAAGGGAATTAGACTGTTACAGAAACAATGAACACTTTGAATAAAGCACAAAGAATTATTCAAACAAAGCTAAAGGGATTTATAAGATTTGTTTAATGAGTTGTTGAGTAATTTATCTAATTAAAAAATCAATCACTACTATGTAACCAGTAACGATGTAATGAGATTTCAGATAACCTGAAGAACCTAAAACTTTGTATTTTGAGTACTACTATAATTTCTTTTATCTTCTCTTATACACACAAAGAAAAGGTTGTTAAATATGTAACATTAAGACTCAGCCTAACACTTATTCAAAATTGTAAATATGTGCAATTCCAAATTAAAATAAAAGGAACTTGATTATACAGTATTCTGCCTCCAACTGTACATGCAGTATTAATAGTTCTATATTTATATTTGCTTCATGATTTACAATGTTGTTTAATTTTAGCAGATATTCTGCAGTTTCCTGAAGAGGAATTTAATCCTTTGGCGGGAGAAATATACTCAACAGTAGTGAGCTTTATTGGAAGTGAAAACATGCAATTTCAGAGGAGTGCTATGAATGTCAGGGTGAGGGTATATCTGCTTACCTAATGAGTATCGCATCACTGAGAGCTGTTCATTCCCGTCTGTGTGGATAGAAACTAGGTCTCTAGTCTCTGCGTCTAGGACAAACCACCTGTTAAGAAGTAAAAACCAAAATTTCTTCAGATACTGCACTTACAGAAAAGAACGATGGCTTATTTTTCATCTGAATTTCACTGCCTGGCCAGACCACGACACACCTTCTCAGCCAGATGACTTGCTCACTTTTATCTCCTACATGAGACACATTCACACATCAGGCCCAGACATCACGCACTGCAGTGGGGGCACTGGAGTTCAGGGACCTTGATATGCATAGATGTGGTTCTAGGACTAATCAGTCAAGATCTTGACTTTGACATCTCTGCTTCAGTGCGTTGCATGAGACTACAAAGATATGGAATGGTTCAGACAGAGGATCAATATATTTTCTGCTATCAAGTCATCCTTTATGTCCTGACACATCTTCAAGCTGAAAAAGAGCAAAATAGAGCAACCCCTGCCTCTGAAATGACATGAAAAGAACAACTTTCTGGATAGCTTCCCATTTCTCTCTTTAACCTCCAACAGACGCCCCTGCTCTCTATCTAAGATAAAGATCCCAGGGTGTTAGGGGGAAAAGGATGTCCTAAAGCTAATTCCATACAAGCTTTGTGGACTCCACCCCCACACCCCAGGCCAAAGCCAAAGACACTGGGAACTCCAAATTCCATCACCACCAAATGGAAGGTGGCTGGGACCTGAGGGTGGGGTTAAGCAGCCAGGTTGGTATAAAGCCAGACACGTGGGCTTTGGAGGGGTCCCCCATTTTGACTCTCTGCCAGCTCACAGCGTCCGGCCAGCTCTGAGAGTGCTTTTTGGGTTTCCAGGTCAGCGGATCGGGTAGGACACATTAAAGACTTTATTTCCCTATTTTCTCCCTGAGTTGTGCATTTTCCTTATTTCCTTTTCCCTTGTAAATAAACCTTTTATTAACCTTTTGTGTATGCCTGTAGTGGAGTATTAATAAGTCCCTTGTAAGTGTGCGGGTGAGGACCCACAGCCAGGCAACCCGTTCAATATTGGGGCTGCCCTATAACAGTGGCAGCAAGTGCATATAATATCATTATGCTTACTCTTTTCTACCTCAGAGGGGCATTCTCCATAACAATTAATAATACTGAAGTGCTGTATTTTTACAGCTAATTTAACCTGTGATAATTATTTTAAAAAGATTTAGCACTAACTGAATAATGCAGATCTTAGGGGTGATTAAGGCAGCATTTGATCATAGTGGACATTGTTACAAAATGCACCCAGTCTAGTTTTAACACACCAATCCTGTTTATAGTGAAGTTCTTTTCCAGTATTTTAAATAAAGTAGTTATTTTATAGGGGATACTTGAAACCAGTATTTAAGCTTTAAATGACAATAATATTGGCATAGAGAAAAAGTAGCAAATGTTTACTATATCAGTTTCTAATGTTTACTATATAGAATTTCCTGTAATATATTTATATACTTTTTCATCAAAATGGAGTTATCAGATGTTTGTAACTGCATCATCTCTTTTTATGTATCATCTCACCTTGTAAATAAACACACACCTTTAAACAAACAAACAAACAAACAAACAAACAAAAAAGGATGGCTGACATTTTCTCCCATTTTATTTTATTTTATTTTTTTTTTTTTTTTTAGAGGCATGTATTTTTATTTATTATTTATTTTGTTTAGTTTGTTTGTTTGTTTATACATGCACTGGGTATAGTCAGAAGCGCGAGAGGGTGAGAGAATTCACCAGAGCCAGAGCGGGGAGCAGAGCAGGCAGAAGGACAGAAGTACACTGCTGAGGGGAGCAGCGGGCGGCAGGAGAGGTCTGCGCGCCATGTGGGACCCTCCGCCGGTGGCCAGGGAGCAGCCGGGGATCGAACCGGCACCGCAGAGGCTGCGGGGAGCTTCTCAACCCAGCGCTCAACCGCTGCGCCACCGGGGAGGCCCTCCCATTTTAAATTTCAAAATGTTTTAAGAATATTAATGAGAAATTGCAGAAATTTTAATAGTAACCTGTATGACATATTTCTCTCTTCTGTGGAAGGATGAATTCATTTTGTAAAATGCTGCTACTTACAATGTAAATATATGGCCATAGGCATGTTCTTACTTCTGTTTAGGTATTTCACTGAATGCCAACTGTATCTCTTTACTAGGAAAGTCTTATTGGAAAATGACAGGATCATTGTTTTTTGAAGATTACACTAGAATCAAAATGCCAGTCTCCAAGATGGTAGCTACATATAGTAGGCAGCTCACAGAATGAAAATGAATGATAGGAGACATAGAAGAAATGTTAGGGAAGATGAAGGATGTGGGCTGAACTGAACACTGAGGGTGAGCAGTAGTTAGGCGGTGCAGGCAGGAGTGACTGCATAGCCACAGAGGTGGGAAATAGCAGACAGTATGAAGGTGAACAGCACATGGTACTCTTGCCTTTCCAGTACCTCTAACAATTGCATCAGAAGTTCTTTTATTCACATTTATGGGAAGCTAAAGTGCAAAAGCCTCATAAGAGGTCAAACAATTAATTAAATACAACTACATAATAAGTGACTATTATAAGAACTTTTTCTGAGAGCGTTTGAAGGGATGGTGCTTCAAAAGAGTCTGACAAGACAAAAGGCATATAAAGCAAAGACTGAGAACTTAGAAAGGACAACTAAAGGTTGGATAAATGAGAGGAAGGCAGGTCATAGACAACATGTGGAGCTAGTTGGAGGAGTTTAGAGTTCAGCACTGCCTGGCTTCAATTAAGCACTAAATATCTGTAGAATGAATAAATGAACAAATATAAAATATGTCTTGAATATTACAAAGCCAGTTTTAGCATGAATTATTTAATAGTGTATGCAGGAAGAAATGTCTGGAGCAGCAAAAATGGGATTAGACTACAAAAATAAAGTCATTATCTTAATGTCAACTGGATGGGACAAGAGCATCAAGTTTTGTTTTTAACTATTCAGATGGGAAAATTTTTATCACTGAAAATAAGTCAATAAAAGGAATCGTAAGCCCTATAACTAATATCTATAAAGGGATCATTTCCCTTTGCTTCACAAAATATTATTTAGGTAAGGGCTTGAAAGACTTTTTAAATAATGTTTAATGATACTGCTTAACATGCCTTAGTGTACTGAAGGTAGGAGATGAAACACTAAAAAATTCCATCTTTACCTATTAAAGAAATTGCTTTCTAGTTAAACATTCATGAATAAATTTTAGTAACTTGTGAGCTAGATGTTGAAAACTTTTAAGTAATTAACCTAACTTGTTAATTCTGTCTTCTATTCAGGTAAGAGAAATAGCTATTTGTGAATATTTGAATTTGAAGGCCAATCATCAGGAAAGTGGCTTTGAATCCCTGAGCCATCTTTAATGGTCATTTATTTCCATTTCAAAAGGTGGGTAAGAAACATACTTTACTGCAATTGAACAGTAACCATAGATTATATAGTTTTCTTTGAGAATTTTATTAACCAATTTTTATGGCTACAACTGAAACTCCCTCCAACAATAATTTTAAAGCTCCCACCATTTTCACTGCATGAATTATGTTCTCTTTTCAGAAAAGACTTGAGCTCAGGACCTCTGTCCCTAGAAAAGTTATGGAGAAGACAACAGATCCTCTAGCAAGGGGAATTTTCTAGAAATAAGTACTTGTTTTTCTGTTTTTTAGTTGTATTCTTATTCTAATCTAGAGAATATACAGTGGAATCAAGATTCTGCCTTAATGTAATTTGGAATCATTACGGGCCTTCATAATGGTGCAAAGGACCTAATGGACCTTTCTAAATAACAGCTGTTAAAGGCAGAGATAGGAAATCTTTGGCAAACTATTTCAACAATTCTAACTTGCGTGATTACCAAGTACAAAAATGCAGTGCCATCATTTAGCTTGATGACTTTTTAAAAAGAAACTACACTGATTTCTTCAATGGCAAAAAAAAGAATCTTAAGATTTTAGAGCTTGAAACTATCATACTTTAAAGTTTCTAAATATATTATTGGTTCCTAATAAAAGCTGTTCCTAATATAAGTTTAAAATATTTATCATAATGCTAGATGTGTTCTGTTGGTGTCAGGTTTCTAAATATCTCCCATCCCCCTTCATCTATTTGTAAAAATAGGAATGTAAAGTCAAAAACACGGGGAAGAAAGCCCAATTCAACCCTCTTATTTTACAAAAAGAATATTGAAATCCTATAATCTCAAAGACTTGACCAATGATCAACCAACTAGATAGTGGGAGAACCAAGATGGTGCTCTGCTTTGTGCTTTTCCCTGTAACATACCAGGGAAGGCTGGGGAAGATCTTCTTTCTTTGTCTTTGAGATAAACTAACATTTAGGGATCCTGGGAATAAAAGAGATCATAACCTAACGGGGAAGCTTATAACCTAACTAGGAAGACAAAATGACTTCATAAAATGGTACATAGTTCAAAGTAATATGGTCTATATACATTCACACAATAGGGCCTGTGAAGTTTCAGAGCAGGGAGTAAGCAATGAAGAGTAGGTGGTCTAAAATTTCATCACAGCAAATGTGGCAGGAAGTGATGAAGCAGAAACAGGCAGAGAATAGCAGTGAAACTACAAAGAGCAGGAATATATATATAACAACAACTTGGCCATTCTAGCTGGAGTGGTGAGGGAATGATTTTTAATGGGCTTTAAAGTCTGGGATAACAAGTTTGGATTCCATAGTTTAGGTATCAAGAAGATATAAGAATGTTCTAGTCCAGTTAGTTCATAGTTTCTTGCATTTGCTAGATCATTCCTTCTGCTAGATATGAACTCCTCATCCTTTACTGCATTTTCAAGTCAAAGAACTCTTTCAAGGTAGGACCAATCCCTCTTCCTCTGTGAAGTGTTCTCCCCTTTATATCCTTATATGTTACATAGTATGTTCTATATACTGACTCAATTCTGTGAATTTCTTTCTTTGAATCATTTTCCAAAGTTAGCCTTTGCTTTTAATTAATTCTTCCTGTCATTGCTTTAAGCTTATTGATTTCTCCAGTTTTGGATTTCTCATCTCTATTTACCATAAAATAAA